TAGTTTTCACTATGTGAAAACTAACTGGTCCCAATTAGTGTCCTAAATAGGAGAAATCTGAGTCACTGCTGACAGGAACAATGAGAATACAGAAGAGAAGGGCTGAGTGAGAAGAGGAAGCTTAACATGCATATTCAAAGGAGAGGTGGAAGGAAAGAACTGAATGAGGTGAAAGGAGAAAACATCCTCTGAAATAATGTGGGGATGCATGCTGATGGAAACAGAGTAGGAGAAGGAGGAGAAGGAGGGGGGAAGGGGGAGGATGAGAGGGAGGGGGAGAGGGACAGGGAGGGGGAGAGGAGGGGGGAGGAGGAGGAGGAGGGAGAGGAAGAGGGGGAGGAGAGGGCAGCTTCCTGGCCAGTGTTGTAGGGAGAGGAGAACATACACCAGGGCCAGAGGCCGCAACTGGACAGGTGTCCAGGAGAACTGATGAGCCTGTGGGATGAGATTGCGCTGGCGCTGTCTGTGACCTGGGACACGGGAGAGCCAGCTTCAGTGCAGTGAAGGACAAGAGGAAGCCAAGGAAACCAAGTACGAAGTGCCACCCCCAGTGTGGCCCTGCTCAGGCAAAAGAATTTCCAGTGCAGGAAGAGGGCAGTGCAGGTTCCAGCTGCAAGACATAAGGCTTCCAGGGGTGCGGGGTGAGCTCCCCAGCCTAGGTGGCCTGCACTGAACTAAAATGAGTGAGCAAAGAGCTCTGGGTGTTGGAGAAGGAGTCTATGCATTGCCAACCTCATTAGCACCACTAATCATTATAAACAGATAATTTGCAAGGAGATGAAAGAGTCCAAATTCATGTTGCCAATACTAAATATTTAACTAATGAAAAATATAGGTTCTGCATTGGCTGTGAAAATCTCAAATGATGAGTTAAATTTCAAATACTTTGTGCCCCGGAGACTAGGTTTCAATTTCTGATTTGCCAGATGGGATGTGAGTCACAGTACAGCAAATAACACTAGATTTCAAATTATTTTGCTTTCCACAAAGGCTGAGGACCTTTAGAAACCAGCCCCTGCAGATGAAAGGAAAGCTCAGAGGCTGGCAGTTAAGAACCCAGCTACTGTGCTCTGCTGTGCCCTGGACAGGAGCCTGGTCAGACTGCAGCCTGGGCGAGGGCACCTGCACCACCTGGCAGTGGGCAGAAGCTGGGATGCCGCTGCTCAGCCTGGCTGCGAATGCAGGAGGTAAAGGTCAGGGCTGAGTTTTCTGTAACACAGTGTGCGGTTTCCTGGGGAGAGCAGTCCAGTGGCTGCGAATCCCTTTGATTCTCCGGATCCCCTGTCTGGCTCCACAGTTTCCTCTGGAAGCACGTTGGCCAGCTTAGAGGACTGCAAAGCTGTATCATAATATATTCTTTTTAGGATCCCTTGGGTGAGGATCACTCTCCTCTAACAGACAGTTGTTAGTGAGCACATTAAGAAACTAGAGACACAGCTTATGAAGTTGCAGGATGCACTGAAGGTTCAGAAATGGGCACAGAGAGGGACTCATCTGAATCCTCATGCTGGGAGCCTGGTATCTTCATTACCCCCTGCAGTTCTGTCTGCTTGCCTCCTACCTCTTAGTGAACCATCTGTGGTGCCTGAATAGCAGGCCAGTCTTTCCCAGGGGAAAACTGTGTCTGTTGACTTGACTTTGTCTCCCTTGGTGAGCCCTTCCTTTCCTCTCGGGGCTCACTAAGTCACACTACTCACCCCAGCAAATTGTCCCCATCTCTGTCTGTCCTCTTCCTAAATTCTGTTTATGGCTCTTCTGGCCAGTGTCTAGCACAACATCAAAGATCAAACCAACTCTGCCTGCCACACCCAGTGATTGTCTTCTGATTTGGGACACAAATCCTAGAATCAGGACACATTGACATGGCAATTCTTCGATCTGCTGGTTTCTGCTTTAATGGGTCCCGATTTCACTCTTCCCTTCCACCCTCCCCGTCTCCTCTTCCTCCATCGATCTTTGCTTTCTGTGTCCCTCCCAGAATGCATCTGTCCATGGGTTGTCTTCCTCTGACTTCCCTGCTGCCTCCTCTTTCTCTTGCCTTTAGTCCTTTCATTTCCTGGTCACTGCATCCACTGGCCAGTCCTCCCAGGGCTCTCCCCACATCCTGGTGCCCCCCAGGTCTCAGTATTCCTGGAGAAGTGTCCTTGGGGCTAGCCTCATTTACCCACCTGTCTGATGCTTCTTAAACTAGAAGGGTTTTATACTTCTCTTGAAAACTGAAAATCTGGAACACTGGGCTGTGTTTCTACTGAGCAGCTCCCTTCTTGGGGATCCTAGACTCCACTTCCCCAGGCCATCACTGGACCTGGCCCCCTGCCTGCTGCTGTGGTTGACATGTGGTTGTTTGCTGAGCTAAAGCTTTGTCAGGAGTGGAGGGGTCAGTGTGCGACTCACAGTGTATCAGGTCTGGCAGCGAAATTTTATTAGATTAAAATGGAGGAGGAATGTTTTAATAATCCATTTTTAGTCTTATAGAGCAACATAATGTTTCATCTCTGTGATTAAACTCATACTGAAATGTTCATAAAGAATCCTAAGCAATATCAATGGTCACAAAATTTCATATTTAAACATAGTTTCTGCCTTAGAAAAGACTTTAGTTTTAGAACAGATTTAGAACCATAGCAAACTGTAGTGGACAGGACAGACAGATCCCCCATATGTCACAATCTCCGACACACACAGCCTGCCCCACTCTGGACAACCTCATCAAAGGCATACACTGGCGACAGCTGAAGCTTGTACACCCATATATTTTTGTTCCTCAAAGTCAATAAATAAGGTTGGCTTTGGTGCTGTTCATTCCCTGGGGTTTTATGAACTGTGCAGTGGTATGGATCCACGATCTTGGTGTTATTCCCGACAGTTTCACCCTCCTGAAATCCCTGATGCTCAACCTACTCATCCCTTCCTCCCTCCCTAACCCCTAACATCCCTGGTCCACTTGCTGTTTCTTATAATCTTGCTGTTTCTACAGTATTGTGTGATTAGAACCTTGTAGCACGGAGCCATTTACACTAACCTTTCACATAGTGATATGGCTTTAACCTTCTTTCGTATCTTTTCATGACTTGATGGCTCGTTTATTTAGAATCAAAATATATTCCATAGTCTTTATATGCCACAGTCCCTTTATCTATTGACCTACTGACCTGCATTTTGGTTCTGTTGAGGTTCTGACAATTGAATAAAGCTGTGGTAACATTTGTTGGCAGGTTTTTGCATGAGTATAAGTTTTCAGCCCATTTGGGTAAATACCAAAAAGAGCAATTGCTGGGTTACATAATCTTATTTTTCAGAGTTTCCTTCCTTTTTGATCACGAGTTTTCCAAAATGCCAAGTGATGCGAGGAGAGCTAAAGGGCTCTTCAAATTGCAGACAGTGGCAGATCCATCTCACCAGGTAGCAGACAGCCTGGGATGGAGAGCTGTCTCTGTGGAGAGCCTTCTCTCCCTGCCAATGTGGTTTCTTCAGAGCTTAAATACAGTGTTTTCTGCCAGCATTCAAAGCACGGAGGTGAAGCCCAGGCCTATGTGTCTATGACATTTATCATTAATTTTGCAAAATTTATATATCTTTTTTGACTAATCTCTTTTCTGACAACCTAAACAGTCATTACTTGGGACCAGAAAGAATCAGAAAATTCAGTCTTACCACATCAAAATGAAACTCTTCTTTCAGTTCACTTATGTCTAGTAAAATATTTAAAAATTCAGCAGTAGCTTTTTTGTATTGTATATCTTACTGCTCAGTGCATGAATGAGGAAATTCTTTCTATAATTTATAGTTTCACAAGGAACTTATTTTCAGTGACTATGTATAACGTCTTGTTACTTCTTTGAGTTCCCTGGATAGTCTGAGATTTCTTACTGATTTGATTTCATAAAAACTCACAGAAAACTTATTGTAGACTTGATTCTAGGAAATTTCTATCTGATGGCACATGATAAACCCAATCTCATACTGCTATTTACAAAAATGATTTTTAGAATCTAGATAAAGCCCAGGAAAGAGAAACATTTCATTAAAAGTTGTTTTGATACTGTGAGCCTCTGCTTATCTTTCTCAATTAAAAAAAAAAAAAAAAAGCAGATTTGATATGTTTACAGATCATTCCTGAAAAGGTGTGGACACTGCTCTGTGTTTATTTAACTTGAAGTCTAAACCGATTAAATTTACAAGGCTTGTATTGAGGAGGAGCATAGCACCATTCTTAGCAGGAAGCTCACCTGTGGAACAAGGCTGACGTTTACCTACAGCCTTTGGAAACAGTGCTGCTTTCTTTAATTTTTCCACTGAAGTCGATAAATGTTGTGTTGAGTTAAAGGAGTTTACATTCCAACAGTGTGACCTCTCACCAGACAAGGAATCATTAAAGATGCCCACAGAGCATTAGCATGGGGCGCCTCCTTCGAGACTTTTCCTCTGTTTCTTTCTGTCTCACTGGTGGAAACCCTCAACTCGCTCCATGAGGAGAGTCACACAGGTCATCCCTGTGTCCATGGAGGACCCAACGGGACCAGCATTCTCACCAAAGTTGAATCAAGAGAGCTTTAAATAACTTTAGTTGGGGTTTATAGACATGTCAACAACCTGGATCCAATTCCTGAGATAACAGGATGCGTGATTATACACCGATGAATTCTGTGCTCAGGTCAGAGAAGAGGGGCACGGAGGAGAGAAAAAGGAGGTTACTATCCCTCCCTCTGCACCAGGGCTCCTGGGAGCACAGCCTCCCTCGGCATTCAGATTCCTGAGGTTGCTCTGCACTTCATCTGCTAACAGGATAACTGCATCTCCTCAGGCTGAGAGAAACTAAAAGCCTATGCATTCTGTTCTGAAGTCACCATGACTGCTTTCTTGTTCCTGGCTAAATGGCCAATCATAGGTAACAACCAAGGAAAGCAGAAATCTGAGCTGGTCTTTCAAGCAAACGTTTTAACATTTGTTTTGGTTAAGGAAACCTCATAAGCGATCCCTTTCCACACTTCCTTCCATGATTTCATTTATTGATTTTTTTTTTTTTTTTTTTTTTTTTTGCAACCTGTGTCCCCATTTACTTTTCCTGTGTGCAACTGTAAACAGTGGTACTTCTGGAAAGATACTTGCAAATGTAAACACAGCTGTTGTTTCCACCTCTCTTACTTATTTCTATGTTGTGTGTGTCTTTGTAGGCCGTTCACAGCATGTTATGTAACCGATAATCTCTACCACTCACACTCTGTACCCCGCTTTCTGTGTGGCTCTCAATAACCAGAGGAGAGAGCCAAAACACAGAGGAGGGAAATACTCTGCATTGTTTATTTATTCTCTGTATCACAAAACATCTGCTTAATGCTGACTTCCTCTGAGACACAATATTAGGAAAACAAATGAAAAGTGTTTCTTATGTAAGAAAAACGATTCAGGTTTAGGTGATCAGAACAGACAAATAGGTGACTAGATGGCACATGTGACCAAAAGAGAGCTGTGGAGCCACCATGGTGGAGTCCAAGGGCACATCCCTGGCTGGAGGAGACCAGGTATAGATTCAGGGTGGGGTAAAGCTGCAGTTGAGTCTCCACACAGCAAGAGTGACCAAAGAAGCTGTACATCACCTTGAAGAGGGGGCAGATGGGAAGAGCCAGGACAGAAGCAGGCACCTATCCTGTGAAGGAAGTGTATCCTGGGTAAAGTCAGGCCAGGCTTGGCCCATGAGGCAGGATGGGAGAGGGTGGAGGCGGGTGGGTAGGTTGGAATAAGCCCCAATGGTAAGGAAGCCAGACAGGAAGATATCCAACACTTGAAAACTTCCCTGAACCTTAACATAGCTCGGAGGCTAATAAAGAAAAATCATTTTGATTTACCCTTTCTCCAAAATTTAAATGAAAAATTTCTAAGAAGCACATGAACAGTACACAGAGAAAGTAAAAGGAAGCCTGGAGGAAGCACCGACTGTTGGTGTATGAAAAAAACCATATCTCAGTGTGCAAGGAGGAACTATTTCTGAGGTGTTTTTAACCCCACAAATGATTACTGTTGGTGAGGACAATACGAACAGGTTCCGATTTACAGAAACTTTCGGCAGGCATCACTTTTCCTGTGCACCATCCCTGTACCTTCCTCGTCGTGATCCCTCATATTAACAGAATAGCTTGTCATAATTGATGGCTTTGGGGTTGGCAATGAGATTCCAGATACGATGACCCAAACATAGTCCAGGAAAGAAAACAAAATCATAATGCAGACTTCAGTAGAATTAGAAAGTTCTGCTCTATGAAGACAGTGTTAAATATTTTCAAACTAGTTTGGGATTGAAAAAATATTTGCAAAGCACATACCTGATTTTATAATCCCTGGTGTCCACAATATGCACAAGGTTCATAAAGTTCAACAACAGGAAAACAAAACACACAACCCAATTAATATATGGCCTGTCAAAATGTCAAGAGGCACTTCGCCAGAGAGGAGATACAGAGCAACAAGAAGCAGGAGTGATTTTTAAGGTTGATCTTTTCACATTCTAGAGCTCATAAATTATGAACTGATGAAACATTTTAAAATAAAATGCAAAAATAGATATAGTAAATCATTTTGTCAGTGTCTAATAAGAAAAGATTTTTCAGCCTAAGCATAAAAGAAGATGCTATAAGGCAAAAAATGCATAGAATAAAACTTTTTATCAGAGACCAAAATAACATGTAGTAATGTACTCTTATGGTACACTGCACTTTTTTTTTTAAACTGAATGGGCTCAACTAACATTTTCATTCTGGTTGCACTGTAGAAAAAACCACATAGGCCCTGTAAGCAGATAGATAAAGACACAGAGAGACAGACAGATGGAGATTCAGACATAAATGATATATAGGGTTTCCCCCCCCCCTGCTGAAGCCAAAGTCGGTGCAAGTCCCTTGTGTGCAAAGAAAATCCTTCCTAAGCCAGTTTGCTGCTTTTGTGACATTCTTTCCGTGCATGTGAACAGGAATCTAGTATTCTGGAACCAAACCAAATGTTTAATTAAAAAGTGAAATGAATATTCCTTTATATCTCATTTCTTTCATCTCAACCCCAGAAAGGCAAGACTGGGAGGGTGACAAGATGATAAATTAAAAGGCAAGAAATGCAGACGTCTCTGGGGGCTCACAAGCCCCCACCTGTCTCCCCAGAGCACCTGTCTCTCCACCAGCCCTTCCAGGTCCCTACAGAAAGCCGAGACCGGTGCTCCGCAGCAGGTCTATTGGCTCTTTATGTAACATTCAGTGATTTTTCTAATTACATACACATCTCCAGCATCCTGAGACATGGCACCTTCTGCTAAAAGAATAGCCAACACCCAGGGTATTGTTGCAGAGGTGAGCTCGGGCATAAGATGCTCATGTTTTCTCTGGGTCTTTTGTTCCATAAAAGGTGCTTCTGAGCGTCTAGTTCAATTTCTGCCGGACATACATGGAATGCAGTGGTCGAGCAAAGCACTGGTCTGTTTTGCACCTAACAAATCAAACCGCAGATATGGCAAGAGATATTTTTTATCAGTGGCACAAATTATAGGCCTAAAACTTTACAGATACTATAGATGTGGATAGTGTGATGTATACTAAGCTAGATACTGAGGATGAAAAGCTACCACGGTTATTAACAGCATGTTTGTTTCTCTCAGTTAACAGTACATGCATGTGTATTCATTAAATGGAACATGGGCTTGTTCTCAGTGTATCTCAGCTGCCCGAACAAAACACCTCAGATAGGGAATTTATAAATAGGTAGGACTATGCGTTTGGATCCTGGGAAGTCTAAGATCATGATGCTAGCACATTGTGAATCTGATAGGGGTGAATTCTTCACAGATTGCCTTTTCTAGAGTGTACAAGTACCCTCTAGCCTCTTTTTTTTCTTTCTTTCATTTTTTTAAAATAAAAGCACTAAAGCCATTTTGAGGATTCTGTAGGGGTCTAATCTCCCAGAGGACCCGGCACCGCGTGTTTACACTGGAGAGTAGATTTCAACATACGAAACTTAGATGGGCACACATTCAGACCACAGCCAGGATCAAGGTCAGGAATGTAACATCCCGGTAAGGTACTAAGGACAAGAATGGTGGTGGCAGAAACTGAGGTGGAAGAAACACAGTCCCAGTTGGCTATGGGACTCAGGAATAACAAATCTCAAGCAATGCTAACCAAGACTCCCAGAATCCAAAGCAAACGCAAGTGGGCAGAGGTACTTCCCGTGTCCAGCTGGGCCTCACATTGGCCCTCCATTTTGTCCCTGAGCACACAGAAAAGAAGTGGCATAAATTCTACCGATTCCTAATTGTTACCTTCTCCACTTCAGGTAGATGCAGAAGTTGAACTAAATCAGCTGCCTTTTCAGGGGCCCATCATTTAAACTGAGATAGGAAAACAGTACTGAGGTCATCCAGGAAAAGGCTTTGGCTTGTGGGAAATCTGCTAATCTAGCAAGGTTTGGGGAAAGGACGTCTTGTAATATACCACTTTTCTTTCGGTCTTGGGGAGGTTTTTTTTTTTTTTTTTTTTTTTAGTTTTAATGCTCTGTGCCCGTATTGTGCTTACCTCAAGGGACAACTTTACATAGTGACCACTCACAGACGTGATTGACTGTTTCTTCCACCAAAACTTCTCTCGGAATCTTTGACCGCTTAAACTTCGTTACAATTCTTTTCACCTCCTACTTCAACAGTTTCTTTGAACACACATGTTAGGCACACATGGAGCCATATATGTCCCTTACAATCTGGATTTTCAAATCAGTTTCTTCCATTTCATACTGGCATGGGCGTAAATGAGGTCTGGTGGCACTGCTGATACAAGCAGAAGTGACCAATATGAAACTGAAATCTGTACAGTTTTGGCACTTGGCATAGGTTTAAAATATTTCACTGGTTCTGTAAAGGATTCTGAACACTTTACATTCCTGCATTTGTATTTAAAATATAATAAAACTTCCACGATCTTCCTACAGAGCAGTGCTCTTGACCTCACTTCCTGGGTTTGAGGGTTCCTGTGGCACCAACCCATTTTTGGTCCATCATACAAACTTCATTCCTAGCTTCTGATTTTTCTAGCATAATTTTTACTGATTAATGAAAATTAACTAGAAATTAAGAAATGGAAATTTAAAATGCTGCATTTAGTGAGGGAAATCATTCTATAAGAAGCAGGGGAGATCACTGAAAAGTCAGATACTTTGTTTCAGCCCTCAGTAAAACTGCTACATGATTTAGCAGTCAACACTCTAGGACAGTCACAGGGAAGAACTAGTGTAAAGGGACTGACCAGAGCCCTGCCCGCTGCCCTGCCGCACACCACAGACGTGCATTTGGCAATACAGATAGGATTCAAATCACTGATGAGTTTCCCAATTCAAAGGAGGAAGGCGCCAAACACTCTGGTGAACTGTGGTGAATCCTTTCTCCCTTTAATTCAACAGTAAATTAAACAATTTCCTTATAATTATCCACAGGGAAATGGACGCCACTCCATTTAGTTCCATTCAATAGATATTTACAGGTCAAGACAAATATACAGCTGTGCTGCTACCCTCACAAACATTAATACCTGGAGAAGAAACAGGTCACTCCACTGTGCAACCTGGGACCTGATGTGCTGCTGGGACCCTCTGGCTGCATCTTGTCCACTGCCCTGCTGCCTGTGGTTGGTTGAGCTAGTGTGGTGGCTGAGCTTTCCTCTCTTTAAAATTAGTCATTACGAGGAAAATAAATTGCTTTTTGTCTCCAATCCCCAGATCCAACCTCCTCTATTCTTGAGGTGCAGCATCTCTAGCCCAACACCCAGACCTCCAGGGCCAGGTCACAATGTGTTGATGAGCCCCAGGCAATCCAGACATTGGCATCTCAAGAGAGCCAGATAACGGACCTACTCTGTCACTGCAGCTGTGGGAATACAATGAGAATAAACACAAACCGAATATTTGTTTGCAATATGTAATAGTATGTGATGCAATATTTGTGATACAGAGTGAGGAGGGAGAGGAGAGATACGGGGTACCAAAGGGATTTGGATGTGCTAAGTGTTTACACCAATTCCACACATGGAATGACAACCCTTGGCATTACAAATGTGCACCAGAATAAGGAAGAGGGTCAAAGAATTCACAGGGAGGGAATGCAGAGAAGAGAAAGCAGAGGAAGAAAGAAATTAGGGTACATTATATACATGCACGTTTCCTTACCAGGAACTGAAACACTATTGTGTAATATAATTCTGTACTAATTAAAAATTAATGAAACAAAAGAAAGAAAAATATACAAATACAATGAAGTAAAAAGTCAGTTGATTTATTTTCAACATGCATATCATAAATATACATATGTGTGTGTGTATATATATATATATATATATATATATATATATATGAGAGTGTATGGCTGTAGATATGTAGATATGGATATGGATATAGATGGAGATGGAGATATACAGGTAGACGTGGGTGTGGGCAGGGGTGTGGTCCTGGAGGTAGATACAGAAGAGGGAAGTTTGACCCCCAGGGCTTGCCACTGCTGAGAGTGCCCTACCCCAGAGCCACTCCCTCCTCTTCTGACCTGATACACTTTTAGAACTGCAGCGCTTAAGCACCTAGACTTTCTGATGAGTAACTGAGCTGATGGGATTATAAAGAAGAAATAAAATGTAGTTAATAATAAAAATTGATAATTTTAAAAGACTTTGGAAACAAGGAGATATAAAGTCTGAAGCGTGAAGGAGGTGATTGTTTGAAAGAAGTATCTGTACAGTGTTGAGTGAAAAGAGTCTAACACAAGTTCTACTGGCCACTGAAATGAATATGTTTTTTTCTTAAGTAAATATACAACAGTATGACTAGAAAATATATGAAGGTTTCCATGTCTTGCTGAATTTTTAGTAAGTTTTCATGTGAAAATTTTATCATAAAATATGTATCTTGATTTCAGAGAGGTTTTACTTCCAGAGGGATACCTAGTTTTTCTCCCAAATATAGTTTAAAAACTTTGTGCTTAAAAATCATGGTCATGAGAAAAGTGTTATAAATTCTTCCTAATCAGCAAGATACTCTGTTTTAGACTAGAATCTTGTTTTTTTACCTGAGCTCATAGAAATTCTTTGGCATTAGTCTTTGATTGAGAGGCCAAGGGTAATGTTATTCATACATGTTTCTTATACATCACACAATGAGCGTGTACATTTAAAATTTACAAGATAAGCTTGTGATTTCTATATGTCCAAATACATGTCAGAATAAGATAAAAATACCTACCACATGGATGTGAAGTATATCTTTTTAATCGAGGCAAATATATGGCATGTCTCTAAGGCTCTATAAATCAGTATTTGGGGCTGCACTGAATTTCAAAATCATTGTCAAAAATAAAACAAAAGAGGGTGGAATCATTGTTAACTGGGAGGATCTAATGGTCACTAACTCAATTTCTGCGGTTTTTACATACAGTTATTCCTGCACTATCTCTTGTGCCTGTTTTATAATTTCAATTGACACATGGCTACACATTTCTATGGGGGTGCAGTGTGTGCTATTTTGGTAGATGGTGCAGTGAGTTCTGATACCCTTATGGCACCCATACCTCTCAAACCATCTTTGCTTCTGAAGAGAACGTCCAACATCTCTCCCCAGGGAAATCATAACACGCTGCAAGTCATTTGTCAGTGGCCATCACCCTGATTAACAGCTCCCACCACTCATTACCTGCAACTCCCTCACCATCAGCCTCTTCCTATGGTGTCTCCAGGGTCTTTCCCACCCTTTGGTAATCATTCTTCTACTCCAGACTCCTTGAGATTGACAAATGAGCAAGAGCACTTAGTATTTGCCTTTCCGTATCTGCGCTACTTCATTCAGTGTCCTGTATGTGGGGTTTACCATGTTGCCACACATCACAGGACCTCATGGTTTTCTATGGCTGAATCGCATTCCGTTGTGAATGTTGAGCTACTGACTACTGATCAGCCCTGAGACTGACTCCACATGTCGGCAGCTGTGACTGGAGCTTTGGTGCCAGGGCAGATGTGTGTCTGACACACTGCTTTCATTTCCTGTGTTTTTATATCCAGGAGCAGAAATGCTGAGCCACATGTTCCTTTTACTTTCAGCTTCTTCAGGAAAATTTCACATTGTTTTGCAAAACGACCACACTGATTTCTGTTGCTGCCAGCATGCCACAGGGTTTCCCTTTCCCTCCACCCTCGCTAGTGTTTGCTGTTCTTGATCTTCTTGTTAAAACTCAGTCTAAATGCAGTAAGAAGATGGCTCATGGGGCTTCTGAGTTTCATTTCCACAACAATCGGTGACACTGAGCATTTTTAATGGATCCATTGAGCATTTGTATGCCCTCTTTTTGAGAAATACCAGTTTTCAATAAATTTCTTTACTGCTTGACAATTTAGGTAGTGCAGAAAAACCTCACCATTTTAGTGCTTCAATTCAACTCTATAAGCATTTCATGGGTAAAAGGAAAACAAAACTTTCTTTACTCTCAGGCAAAATAGCCTCTCTCTGCGATCCCAGCGATGGGACATGAGGGGCTTCAGATATAGGGGCCACACCTTTGTGCACAAGGCAAAGATCAGGCAGAATCCATTACCAATGGAAACAGACATGGATTGGATTAAAACTCCACTTCTACAATGCTGCCTTTCAGAAATACTCGCATGCGTACATAAAATATTTTTTGGCTTATTACTTGTAAAACTGAGGAAGAGAAGAAAATCCAAATGCCCCTTAATGGCCAATAGCAAATAAATTATGTCACACACACACACACACACACACACACACACACTATAGACTATCATGCAGACATTAATGAGCATAAAGATGATTCTGATCTGAACCTGGCTTGGTGGTACACAGCTGTAATTCCACCTGAGAAGGAGGTTCTCAGGTTCTAGCCCAACCTGAATAACTTAGTAAGAATCTAAAAATAAGTAAATAGATAAAAATAAAGGACTGGGGACATAGCATAGTAGTTCTGTATAAATTTCCTGGTTCAGGTTCTCAGTAACACCCACACACACTTATGATTCTGTACAAACTAATACAGAGGGATGCACAAGAAATGATTGTGAGAAAGTGATTTTATAATACTTATAAATAATATGTGTATATAAGTATATGTGCTTATTTATATGTAAGGGGTATGTCATTAACAATGTTCTTAATTAATTTGATGGACAAGTTACTACATATGTTGTTATGTTTCTGTATTATATAAGATTTTGAAATGAATATATATTGCTTATATAACTGGAAGCTAAATATAGTAATGAACAGTTTCTAAAGCAAGTAGGAAAATAAATTCTGAGAACTGAAAAACTTTTCTCCAAGAGCCCCATCACGTGTGAGAGGTGAAGATATTGTGAAATTGTCACCTTTATCCAAGTCCCGCTGTAATGTTGCTCAATTCTCCTGGACAGGAGGCAATAGGATCCCCTAGACCACTAGGTTTTGTGTCTCATGTTGCACGTGTGTATGCATCATGAGGTTACGTGGTCATGTCATCACGTGATCAGATGGTCACATGGTCGCATAGTCTATTACTACAGCTCTAAAGTGTCACTGCAGTCATCTGAATTGCAGTTGAAAAATCTCAAGTTTGTGGACTCATGTCTTTTTCAAAGACATCATTCAGAACTGAGCAAGGTACCTTAGATATGCTTCCAAAAAATGCAGAAAGATGCACACTGTAATCTGCAAACTATACTTTTATGATTTTTGCTAATGTTTCAGCAGCTGCTTCACAGTTGCTTTGTAAGTTTGCTGGACTTCTGTGGGTTTTGCTTGCAAGCTACTGCCTAGTCCAACCTTTTCCAATACTGGTATTTATTTGCTTTACCACAACTAGCAATTAACAAAATGTGTTGAATTATTTAAGAGAGAAGTGAAACAAGGTCTTCAAGTCTCTTCAGAGAGACAGAGAGAGGGACACACTTGACATAAGGTTAAATTACTGGTGCATGGAGGTAATGGAGTGGTAGGTGTTAATTGTGTTATTGTCAACCTCGGTGTAGGCGGAAGCTTTTTCCTCATAAACAGTAGGAACACGACATTTCATAGGAATGGAAAGCATTCTCTAATTCTACACACTTTCAAAGGCAGTTCTTTACATGAAAGCATTTTCATTAATATAAAGGAACTCGGAAATAAAACAAACGTTTGTGTTCCTTCATTATAGCTTAGTAGGCAAATATTGGTTTACGTTCTCTCTTTTAGAGCCCCTAATATTAGAGCACTGCTTTATGTAATTTTATCACATTTTTCTGAAACACAAACTAGGGCAATTTATCAGATAAAGGACATGTCGGAATGAAAGGGATAAACTGTACAAGAGAAATTGTTCTTTCTACAACTTTGTTCTTTCGAAATTGCCTAGCTCTGTATCTGCTTCATGGATTTGTAACTATGTTCTTAACCCCTGTAACCATGGGAGTGTAACCAAACATGCAGAATGCTTGATTGTGCCATTGTATCCAGCTTCAAACACTGATGATCACTAATCTATCCTTCTCACCGGTGATCTCATCCTGCCAGCTATTCAGAAAAACTGTCAGGCTGTTCTGTCTTACTTTTGTACTTCCTGCTTGTGTACCATATAAAAGCCCTAGGCCACCAGAGATCAGGGCCTGATATTCTGGGAATGATCCCCCTCAGTGCCAGTCAACATAAATAAACCTGCCTCCAAATCCTGGGTGTCATTGCAGTGTTTCTTTTGTCATTTCAGGAAGAATCCTGAACCTGGAACATTCCAGGAAAATGGTAGCTCTCACTGCAGAGCACCTTGAGAGAAGATAATCAGAAGTGGGAAAGGCAGAGATGAGTCGCTGGGCCCTGGAAGTTCACTGCCAGATATCAGAGCCATACTTGTTTAGCATTTTGTTCTCATACTTAAGGGGTTCAGTCCAGTGAACCCACTGATGTCCTCAAGTGCTTGACCATGATTTCTTTGGAGATTTTCTAGGGTAATCAAATTTCACTCTTCAAATCAGTGATGTAAAGATGCTTTTGAAGAGCAGAGGAATGAAGAGATGAAAATACCCATAATAATAACATACCTTTATTTCAGATACTGCTATGGAAATTCTCAAGGGTACTGTTTTTCTCTTTCAGTTGAATGAAATGCACATGATTGAATCAAAAAGTCATGGTGCTGAGGACCTGCTTTTCTCCCTAGGAGAAATTCAGAGTTCTGCTAAAACAACTGCAGAGGAACACGGAACACAGACAAACACACCCTGGAACCTTTGCCCAGTGTCACAGTGCAGATCCCTCCAGTTTTGTTGGTGGTGAGAGGAGAAGTCTTCCACAGCCTGAGGTCCCTGGACAGCCCTTCTCTGGATAGTGTGCACCATACAGTAAGGGGACCTGGTCAGTAAGCAGTGATTCTCTTTTGGAGAATGAGTCAGTGTGCAAGTGACACACTTAGTTTTGGAAAGTTAGATCCTTGGAAAATGAAATATTTTAAATGCATAGAATAGCTTTTGGGTGGAGCCTCTGAGTTATAAACAGTGACCGCTCAAAGAGTAACAAGTCTCTTAAGTTTAATGTGCTATTTTGTGTGTACAAATTGCCTATCTCACTGAAATGGCACAAAATGTGATTTCAAAATCAAATGTTCAGGACTCGTGTGCTGTGTGATAGAAACACAATACAGGAGAACAGAGTCCCTCACTCCCCACCAGCCCTCTGACCTTCAACTTCACCACCTGACCATGTGTTCTTCCCATGAAGCAAAAATAAGAAGAAATTAGGTTAAGGACCGCGAACCTGTATTATCTGGTCTTTACTGAGTGGGATTCTCATCTACTCACTTTGATGCAGGACAAGCGAGTCACTCAGGCTAAAAGCAAGGACTCTGAAGTGTCCTGTGGTTATGCGAAGGGCATCAACCCATCTGCAAGGTGCAGGATGCTCTTTCACATCACAGTGAAGAGCGTTCCTGGGCCATGTAATTAATCTGCCACTTGAAACGTGGACTTGGGAATACTTGCATTCAATACCATTCATGGATGATTACAGATTCATCTTGGGGAAGCCAACTGGACTCACCTGGCAGAAACTCTCTGGCCGCAGAGACAACTACTGGGTCAGTCCATTAATACAAGTGTCCCTCTAATGTGCCAAGAGGGATTTAGAGCCCAGGACTCAATTAATCTGTAAATCAACAAACAACTCAGGGAAGTTACTGGTGCATTTAAATGGACCATAATCCCTTTCAGAATAAAAAGTGTATTAATATGATAATAATAAGTTTTAAGGATCCTCTTAGTGGTATTTGTCATCAGGGAAGCTGAGTCAGGGAAATTCTAGTGAAATGGAAATCATCTTTCCCTCCTATTTTAATTTCTCTAAAAGTTCTGTAGAGTTGCATATTCAGGAATAATCAATGAAGTAAGACCTGAAGACATTCTGTAGTTGAACTACCAGGGCCAAGAAGTGAGGCCCTTGCAATGCTGAGACCTCACTGTGCTCCTGGAAGTCACATTGCAGCAGGTAAAGCTGTACACATGCAGAGAGCAGAGCAGCTTCTTTCAGAAACAGCTGTTCTGAAGCCAGCAGCTGGTTCAAAGTGCCCTTCTCAGCATGCTGATGTCTGATCACTGGATGCTCATCTATCAAGACCTTCCTCTCCACACCTCTGGGTCCACCAGCCTGCACTACCCTCGATCTCTGCACATGGAGAGCCTTGCCCCAATTCACTGTGTCCTGTCCAGGTTTACAAGCCCTGCCCTGGCCCTTGCTCCTGGAAAACACAGCTGACTGTGGACCAGTTCCCCACAGTGGTGGAGATAGGCTGGGGTCTGTGTTATCCACAGTTACCCCAGGGGTTGACCGGGGGGTTGACCAACGCAGCCTCTGGTTGTTTTCCAAGTGACTGCTCAGGTGCTGGGCTCCTGCCTCTTTTTCTTAGAGTGTTTACTTTGAGAATCTACAAAGTGTAAGTTCTTTCTTGGCCCCCTTGAGATAACTCTCTGCTCTACCTTCTGGACAGTTTTACTGATGCTCAGGGCTCTTTCCTAAAGGACCTGGGCGTCATTCTTCTGAAATGTGGGTTTCAGAGAGGCCAGGGCCATCACACCCAGCTTGTCTGGGAAGGTAGAGACCTAACTGCAGGCTGTGCAAGTGACTCCTGTTGCAGAAAGCTCACTTTCCTGCTGGGTCAGGACAGTTACCAAACTGCACAGCCAACCCTGCTCCCCACGACTGAGCCCCTGGGCTTGTGGCCTCTGGCTTCGGCTGCAGCTTCCTGGAGTGAATCCAGCCTCGCTCTTGAGTCTCAGAGGTACAATTTTTGCCATGTCATGGTCTCTCGGGAAGCAGGCGTCAAATACACCTTTTCTCCCATGGAAAATTGCATTTCTGATGAATGCAGATGCTGTCAGCAGAACTCAAAGATGCTTATGGAAATAAACACTGAAATTCCTAAACGTGATTATTTCAACTTGGGGCTCAGCTTTTTCTTCGAGAATTCAACGAAAATCCAAGTAATTACACAATCTGATCAGTAAGTATTTAAGAATTACACAAAACACAAAGAGTTTAAATAAAATTATTTGCAAAACCAATATAATGTGTTGAGCAAAGTATTTAAATATTACAGATGATAATACTTGCTGTCATTTATGAAATAATAAGTGACAAATATTGTCCTTTGAAATAACTCATTTGAAATTCATGAAACACCAGGTAGCTGGTAAAATTTCTCTTGTTTTTTCTTTTTGCCATCCTGGAGATCAAACCCAGAATCTTCACACTGAGTGGCATCCCCATCCATCCTTCTTGTATGTTTATTGTTTAAATTTTGAGGCAGGGTCCTCAAAGACCTAAGTCTCTAAATTGTCCAGAGTGGGCTGCAACTTGATCTCTGTCCTCATCAGCCTCCCACCTCAGCTTACTGGAAGGAAAGGTATGGATCATCATCCCTGGCTAAAAATTGCTATTCACACTGCAGATTAAAGTGATCAAAGAGGAAACCAAACATGCTGAATTTCACATGGCAGAGCCCACCAAGTAGGGCTGGATTACAAACTGGGTTAGTCATTGTCTTGGGCACAGCCTCACTAGGATTCAATGCCTATGTTTCATTTTATACTTTCATTACAGTTTTCTTTTGCTTAACTGGAAAAATTAAAGAAACTTATATTTGTTAAAATTTCTGACTGGTACCATTTCACCACATACAAAAAAGTCACTGTTAACTCTGTTTACAGTAGCTGTATTAAATATCGAGAGTTTGAGTTAGAGATATCTACAGAACCTTTACAAACTGATGTGCTCAGCCCAAATCCTAAAATAAAATATTTTCTGTCTGTTCCCATCAAAGACACAGTTCAGAAGGCTCTCCAGAGCTTCGTCGCGCAGAGGAACTGGCAAAGCAAAGAATTAAAGCCCACATCAAAGTCACTTTCTAATTCAAATGAGCTCCCAGTGCCCAGGGAGTGACTGGCAGTGGACTCAGCCCACCTTAGAGGTGCTCTGAGCCAGTCCCAAGACTAGCTGAGGTGCTCTCAACACCCTCTGCTCTCCCTCTTCCCTCTCCCTGCCCCAGCCTCTTGGGTCTTCAAAGTTGCCTGTCTCTCTGAAGCTTCTGTACCCAAACCACAAAGTCTACCTGCTGACAGATGTCCAGTCAGAATCTGGTACCTGAGCTCTTTGCTTCGCATGGTCACTGAATTTCACAATCTCGCTTCTCGGTTTCAATCTTTATGGTCATGTTAGGAAAACACAAGTAGTCTATGATCTCTTATGCATTCAAATATTTTCATTGCTTTTGTCCGAGGAAACTGATACTCATTTTCTGTTCTTGACTCCACACAAAACTCAAAAGTAAGTAAATAAATAACAAAGACAATCATCACTGCTACATTCTCCAGCTGCCCACTTTCACGATGACTGTTTATTTTATGGTGATTAGAATTATGAAACAGTTCATTTCTAAATTGAATTGAAGATGAAATTGTAAATGAAATCTTTTCCAGATAAATATAAATTAAAAAATAAATAAAAACATGGAAGAGAAGTGGCAAGAACACCTCCTTTATAGACATCACTAATGAATATCAGGCCACCGGGCAGATCTGGAACCCCTGTGGTGTTAGCCTACTGAAAATCGGTATTTTTGCTCTGTGAACTACAACTTCTTTAAAAGTTGGTTTGGATTATTTTTCAAGAACTCAGGGAAAAATTAATACTCAGAAGGCATAAATCATGTTTTAAAGTCACACATGATCATTTAAATTCAATTTTCTCCCTCTTTCTATAAGTTTAACCTTCATGAAAGTGCTTCAAATGCCAGGCATGAGATTGATACTCAGCAGGATGGGTCATTTAAGCAATTTCTGGTTGGATGCTGGGCAGAGAACAATCAGCTCCGAAGGATCCAGTAGCAAAAAGAACCAAAACTACTAATCAATGGAGGGTGTGATTTCTTCCAGCACAGAGACAGTATGTTTAAAGATGAAGAGGACTGCACTTCGGTGTGATGCTAACATCCTTGAACACCTTTTCTGTTAGTGAAAAATGCACTTTATATGAGTATACACAAGCCTAGGGAGGTCAGGCAAATGGGCACTTCCGGGTCATATCCGGATGGTCTCTGAAAGCCTCACACGCTCATAGGTAGGGCTGGGGGAGGTGAGCCAGTCATGGGTGTGACTCCCACCATTGGATTGGTCACATGATGAGTTTATAGCAGAATGTGACATAGGAATGTGAGGTGCAGTGAAGGAGGTGATCGCTGGGGTGTGAACTGGAAGGGTCCTTTCTCCCTCCTCTTCCTCCTCCTCCTCCATCTCTCTCTGCTTCCTGCCTGCCCTTCTCAGACTGTTTCTACTCAGCAATGCTCCTCTGCCATGCTGCCCTGCCTTGGGGCCAGCTGACTATGGACTGAAACTCTGTATACTGTGAGCCTAAATTAGACTTTCTTCCTTTAAGCTGGGCTGTGGGTATCGTGTTCTTGTAAAAGAAGGAAAGTGGACTAAGACATGAACCAACATCACACAGCTAATGCTTGGGAACCAAAGTTGGAAATGGGACCAGGACAGTCCTCTGTCACACAGCACTGAAGCTGCCTCTCTGGAGCATAAGCTAATCAGCAGCTAAACAATTCTTTTACTAAATTATTCACTATCTAAATTATTCTAACATATCTGCCATGCTATATTTTGACTCAAATTTTTTTCTTCACTAAATTCCAAATTACTCCATGTCACAGATATGTGGGGTTTCTAAAAATATTTAAGTATGTTCACACTAAAAGTCTGTTTTTTTAAATTTCTAGCCTAAAACAATGTATTATAAAACATGACTATTGATAATATGAGACCAGGTAAACCTCTAAATTTCCAGTGCAATGGTAAGTATTTGCTGAAAAATGTAATTCCAGTTGAATGTCTACTTTTGGTGAAAACATGCTAATGAAGTATTTCTCAAAGTCATTGGTTCCTATTTCTACTGATCCTACTATAAACTATGTAAATATTCTAAAGTAAAATAAATGAAGAGGAAGGAAAAAGTTTGATATTTGGAAGCTGAGATGGTACTCAAGAAAATCAAGCCCTGAAGATCTATGTCCTGACCATTCACAGAGGTTCTGAGGCAGTGTCTTTTTTCTGAGGCTAGAGATTTTCCCCCTTATTAATTAATTTTAAACTCAGCTGACACCCAACAAGGAATTGATCATTAAGAGTCTGGTTACTGCAGTGACAGCAATACCTTTGTGATACCATTGAGATCAAGGAAAAGCCTTCTCATTAAGTGCCCCCAAATGACTCATGAGTGAGACACAATAATGGCACGCTTTTGTACCAAAATCTCTTGGTCACAAAGGTATCTATCCATCTTTCTTTCTATCAGATTATCTTTTGAGATTCAGCAGTCTAAATTTTCCCTTGATCTATTTCTTTCAAAGTCAAAGAGAAAAGGAAATCTTGTTTTAAGATTAAAAATAAGTCATTATTATATATAGGCAATTTCATGGATCTAATGGGTTTTTATATCTTTACCCTCCATAGAATGTAAATAGGTACTCTGTTTTTTTTTTTTTTTCTTTCCTGTTTTTATTTTTATTAGTCCAGTTGTGAGGTATAAAATGATTCCATTTACCATGGGGAGTGGGTACCTGAACCTGATGCATCTTAATTCTTTTTGCTTCCTCTTCCTTCTCCTCCTCCCATCTCTTGATCCCTTCCACATTTCCGAAAGATCTAGCTCTTGGTTTCCTATGACCTTTTATATTGCTTTTTGTAAAGCAGTCTGAAGACGTGGGGAGCACCCACTGAGTAAGAGGCCTGCTCTGGGAGTCCAGAGGTGAAGGACACAGCCCAAGACTCCTTCGAAGCAGAGACAGTGAGATGCCCGAGGGGAAAGTGTGTGCAGGGTGCTCCCAGGTCTGCAGTGGCTGGCTAAACCTAACCAATGGCATCAGCCTCCTGCTTCTTCTGTGTTCCTTGGGTTCCTGCTCAGCACACGCACAGGAAAAGCATGGGCCTCAGAGGAAGCAGAGCTCACTAACTTCTGTCATGAAAAGAAATCTGTTCGGTCAGCCTTATTTCTGCTGTCTCCATGAATGCATTGTCTCCTAATCTTATGAAGCAACTGGACTAAGCCACATTTCTCAGTCATTTGGCCAAACACTCAAATAGACATCACTGGGACCGACATCAAATTCACAAGCATTGACAAAGTATATTACTATTACTACGTGGGTGGGCCTTGTCCAAGGGCTCAAATAAAAGAACTTGGCTTCCACAAGGAAGGAGCCCCTCTGTCTCCAGTTGGCTGTGGACCCATCTTCTCCCGCAACTGTCCTCTGGCCTGCCCTGCAGCGGTGGACCTATTGGTCCCCACAGGAGCAGAAAACGATCCCTTACTAAGGCTCTGTAGAGCCTGGAGAATGTACTCAGGGAGCAGCAAGATGAGATCCTCAGAAAGAGGAGATTCACTATACCCTCCTGCATCTGCTATGCAGGAAATGGCCCAGCCTAGTGTAGAGAACATCTGCATGAGAGGAAGTGAGGGACAGAGAGGGTGATGTGTCCACTGCCCTTTCTAGTGGACTGGGCAGGTGTGTTGTAGCGCACAGGAGGAATAAGCCAAGCGAGCACTTCAGTTGTCAGAGTAACAGATCACACAGACAATCAGTTTGGATCAACAGCATGGGAAGTGGTCTTGACTATCCACCCTGGGAAAACAAAAATGTCTAGATTGGTGTAGGAATAGACAGTGATCCTGCACGGAGGAGATGCTGCAGGTTTGGACAAGCAGTGAGAAAGCCCAAAGCAGTGCCCTGCACAGTCCACCTTAAACAACAGAGGAGGAATGAAAGCCACTGCCACCTCCTTATCCTCCTCAGGAGTCCTCCGCCCTCCTGCTGGCTGAGCTCCAGCCCAGCCTGCCAGGAGGCTGCCAGTCCACACCTCCTTCATCCTACACGGTGCCCTCTGAGACTGGGCTTTTGGCAGCACTTAGCAGGCCTGGGGTTTTGCTTTCATCTGGCTGATCTTGCCTTGCAAATAGCCCCGGAGCTCCTGGACAGAAAAATAGCACATTTGGTCTTTTGTTATGCCTGGAGCGCTGGGCTTGAGTGCATGGTGAGGACTCAGTGAAGATCCATTAAATGGGGAGATCACCAACCAGGAAGGGAAGACACAGCGCCGTGAGTGCCTCAAAGAACAGGGCAAGTGTGCATGAAGCTATGAAGGGCATCCCATATCCCCAGGGTCTCTGGTTTTCAGACAGCGTAATCCCCCTTAAAAATAAAGAACAGTAAAATAACGGCCAGTCATATTGTGACTGCCTGGCTTTGCTTTGCTATTATTAACATTGACAGCAGGTAAAATTTGATGTAACAGTGTAGGTTCAGTGCTCACCTCACCAGATTTCTGTCAGTAACTTATAGAAATATGATTTACTAAAGCAACAAACTCTAAAGGACATTTTTTACTTTTTTACCTACAGAGACATATATAGGCCTTTTAAGAAAGAAATCATTAGACAAAGAAGGCTTCACATCATTTTAGAATAAGAATAATTTTGTGAATATGCAATTTTGAGTCACAGACCTTTGAACCCCTAGTTATTTAATTAGATAACAATGAGATTGGTGTAAAAAGACACTGGAGGTTTAACTTGAAAACTAATGTTAATCCTTTATGAGGTGACATCTCGATGTTCAGTACCAGAGCACATATTAAAAAGTCCGCAATGATGCTACAAAATAGTAAAGCTTTAGAGGTTAAAAAGTCAATTTAGGGAAATATATATTATATGAAATTGTATAAAATGGTCATAAAGATCCTAAGGACTAAGTACTCCTTGTCGTCTTTCTCTCCCCTGTCACCATTTGGAAGGTTAAATGCTTTACCCATAGTTCCACTGCAGGGAAATGGAATGTCACCATTAAAAGAAAAAATTCTCTATCTAAAATGTCATTCCGTTCTCACCAAACCACAGCAGCACAGTGTAGAAGGCCAAAAAAGAACAAGAAACTTGCCATTGAATGTATCTTACTGACAGATGAGATGTAATCGAAACAAAGAAATATGTACCCAATATTTTTTTACATTATATTTCTAGAAAAAGTGATGTGTCTATTTTTGCTACATATTCTACATTCAATATAGAATTGAGCTAGTTTTGTGTCAGTTTAGGACTCTTTTGCTTTATAAACATTTTCTGGCAAATTACTTTAGGAAATAGTGATATTTTCAATCACATGGATCCATTAGGTGTCTGGAATTTAAATTATTCTTTCACATTTTGGAATCCTCACAAGACCTTGACAAGGAGAAATAGTTTAGCAGGGAGGGGTGTGTGCTCTGCAGGGGGAGGGACTTTTTCCTCCGTTTTCATCCAGGTTGAGTGAAAAGCAATCAAGACATCCACAGGCTTTCACTATCCAGCGCGGATGCTCAGAGTCATCCAGTGCATTGGAACTGAGTGAATAACAAGCAAGCTAGCTTTATGTTACTGTTCCACAATACTCTTAGAAAGCAAGAGGGTTTATTCTGGCCTGCAGTTTGGGCAGTCTCTGCACAGGAGGGATCGGCACCCTAGCTTCTGGTCCCCAGTGAGACCACACAGCACAGCAGGATTACGTTCAGAACCATACCACTCATCTCATCAGCAGGATGTGGGAGGAAAAGCACAATCAATGAAAGGGAAGGGTCTGGGGTCCTACTCCCTTCCAGGCCACACTCCAGGAGCCTAAAACCTTCTATTGTCCCAGCCTCTGAAAGTTTCCATCTCAGGGTCAAGCTTTGAATACAAGGTCCTTTGGGGCACATGTCAGATACAAACTGGAACAAATGGCCACATGGATAAATGTTCAGTTCGCTGACCACTCACCCCAACATCCTGCCTGAAAACCCTGACGCTCAGCATCATGGGTAACCAAAACGGAGGGGGAGAGAGACAATGCACAACTTACTCCAATGCTTGTGCAGAGAGCCAAGAGACACACAAGGGGACAATGGGAACCTGAGAACAGCTGTTGTGTGGATAGCAGAAAGTGATGTCAGTGTTTGAATCAGAAATCCACAGACACAGGAGCTAGACCAGTCTGCAAAAAAAGAAACAGGAGGTCCCAGCCACTCTCAGCCACTCTCAGTTGGAGTTTCTCTATGGGGAGCACTTGTCTTTAGCATTTCTCCAGTGACCAGAATTGACCACTGCAATCAGTGAAACAGCAGACTCTGCTGCCTTTTATCCTGCAGGATTAGCTGGCTTCCTAAACGCCAGTGAGCTCATGGTAGACTTCAGAAGATCTCATTCTTAAAGAAATTGCTCCGGAGTCAACAGCTGACTTGAGTGTCCTAAGGCAGCTTCACAGGCTCCTGCTGTCCCGTCTGGGACACAGACTTTGTCACCTGCCATCCGTGTCTGTGAGCACTGTGTTACACTGCAGCTTCTCCCTGATGCTGATTAGCAAACACTAATCAAACACATCACAGAGCCACTGCCAGCTCCGTGCTGGCATCTCTTTCCTACTTCTCCTGTTTTCCAGCATGCTTAAACCACAGTCATCTGTAGGGACATCAGCCCTCGTGTTTTGTAAGGTGCTAAGCGGTTCTTTGCACAAACATGGGGACAGAGCAAGATCTCTTCAACAAGGATGCTGTTTCCTCCTCACTTACTACAATCAACTTCTACTTCTCCTGCACAGCCAACTCCTCAACTAAAAATTACAAGTATATTGGGAACAGATCTGCCTCAGAGGAGACAGAGACAGTGTCACCCCTCCTGTACTCAGGAGGGAAGGAAGCCTGCAGAGAATATTCAACAGCATTTGCTAAATGTGTAAATGAACCATTGCTCAGAAAGAAATATAGCTCCACACAACTGGCTTAATAATTGTGTAAGCTGTTCCACCTAAAATCTGGAGTGTGCTCCAGAATCCCCCTCAACAAGGTCAGGGATAAAGCTAAGGGCCCCAGGGACTTGTGGACTTTGAGAAGTTTGTTTCCTCCTGCTCAGATTTACACACAGACAGGATCACGGTCTTGCTTTGTGCATCTAGTGCCTGAACAGATCGGAATGAGCTTGAGCATAGGACCTCGTGCAATGTGTAGAAGTCAGCAAGACCCAGAACAGTCAGAAACTGATAGAGAGAGAAAAGATGTTTGTAAGTTGTTACAGATTAGTCAGGGGTTACTCAGGGAAAGCTGGTAAGAGCTGTCAGTAGAAGAAAAACCTGGGCACACAAGTTCCCCTATATTCAGGAAGGAAGAAACAGTTTTTTTTTTTTTTTTTTTTTTTTAATTAACTTGTGGTGCAACTTTCTCTATTCTCGTGGTTCCCATGTCTCTGAAAAGATATAGGGTGCCTGGGCTTGTGGGTGGGGAGGCAAATCCCTCACTCATGTGCAGTTGTCCCCTGGCCAGGCCTTGATGAGTCTCACTGCTTCTCCAGTGCCATGCAAAGTGCTGGCCACAGGCCAGCTGGAACCCCAGCACAGAGGTTCTGCATCCTGAAATTTTCAACTTGAATTCCTCCCTTCCTCCCACAGTCTGCCTTTCACAAAAGGAAGCCCAGAAGATGCCTCACACCAGGTTCATCTCTCAAGTTCATTATGTAGCAACACTGCAGTTGAGCAAAATGGTCAGTAACAAACTAATGCCTGGGCAGTCTAATGAAAATTCTGGATCCATTCATGTGGACTCCAGCTCATCCTGCAAATCAACGTCTCGGTGTTCACAGCCACTGCAGATCTCAGAATACAGCTGCATGTCCCTGACCCAGCAAGCTGTTCCACCTCAGTAAAATGGAGTCAGTGTCTCACACATAGCCCCAATGGGGAACCCAATTTTACCCCTGTGGAGCGCAGGAAGATTTCCTCAGGAGTCTAACAAGCCAGGGTGGAAGCTGGGAATTGTCTGCTCCATCAAGAAAGACTAAATTGGACAGCACCAGTGAAATAATCCCCAGCCACTGGCCAGCACAGGCAGCTCCTGGGTGACAGGGAACAAGATGAGAGTGTGGCAGAGATGATGGCATGAAGACCCGGAGCTCAGAGCATTCACAAAGACTCCACAGTCACTGCTGCCTCATTCAGGGTCACACACCAATGACACTGTCAGTTATGAGGAGTGAGGGACCTTGCACGAAATCCCTGCAGCTGCTTAGCTCCAGGTCTGGGACTGGAAAGGAGCAGAGAATGTCACCTACAGACCTGGCTCTGGAAGAGAAGGAGGTCTGAGGGGGTGCATGGGGTTCCCGGACTCGGTGTCCCTGAAAAAGGGCAGAAGGCCAGTGGCCAGCCACCTGGGAGTGGCTCAGCAGGGCACAGGTTCTAGTTCCCGGTGGATGTCCCACATCTCTCCAGAAGCCCTGCTTTTCTGCTCTTGCACATGGCAGGGATTATAACTGGGATGCGGAAGTCACTAAAGCAACCACACAGGTGCCTGCTGCCGCAAAGTCCCGCAGCCTCTCACTGACCCAGTGCCTACAGTGCCTCACCATGGCCTCACTATCTGTTGCCCAGCACACACACCCTCTGTCAGTGCTGCGTGAGGTTTAGCGAAAAGAAAATGAAATGGATTTCAGCTCACATTTCCTTTTGAAGAAGATAAATGTAGCAAGGAAAAAGAGAAAAAGGACAGTGCATGCTTACCTTACAAAAAGACTTAAGGTGAGTGACACACTGTCTTTAACCCCCTCAGAATACTCAGAATGAGCATCCTGCCTTCGCTTAGCCCGTGGTTCTTGGCACTTTCTGCAGTAACTCTGGCATCTTCCTTCCCAGGCTGTGACCACGATGCAATAAAAAACACAGTGAAGCCGCTGCCGTGTGCCACGCCACAGAAACACAGCTTGTAGTAAAAAATGTGACGTTGTGTCCTCATCAGTCTCATTCACCGGGTCTGGCACTGTGTGACTTCCAGTTTGTCCCCAAAGTCAAAGTGACTGTGAAAGGGAAGCTTTTTGAGTGGATTCAGGACTTCAAGGCATCCAAAGTGCAACTAAAGACACTCGGGAAAGAGGACTCTGGAACTGCTTCAGAAAGTGGCAGGAACAATGGGATGAGTGTGCTTCATTGTTATCTGCTACTGTAATATGCTTTGTTAAAAAAGCCTAACCTTCCAGAGTAGGTTTTGATTCACACTTGGTAAAATGAGACAAAGAAGGAGTGACAGCACTGATGATTTTAAAGGATACAGGTGATGAAGATGATGATGCTATTACTGTTACCTTGCTGGAGGACTCCTGGGAGTGCACACCATCAGGGCACTGCAGAGGTGCCAGCTGTGTCTCACATTTGCCATGACCCGGTGAGTTGGTGGGGACACAGCAGCACCAAGGAGATGGTCCGAAACTCTTCTCTGCCCTCCCTGCCACGTTGCTCCTGTTCTGCTTTCCCTCTTAGCTCTGGCCATGGGTGCTGTCACCGCAGCTACCGTCTGCCTTGCCTGGCAGCCTGCAGTCTTTCCTCACCATGGGCTCCCAGGACAGTGACACAGGATTCCTCTAATCTATCATCCATCTCTCTCCCTGTTTTTCTGTCCACTGCTCTCTGTCTAGAATGTTTTCTTATCTACCAGAGGAAGGAATACTATTGTCAAAGCTTAGAATATAAGGCTCTGCTAAGGGGCACACAACCTCAGCAGTGACACTCGAAAATCAAAGTTGATCCAATCAAAATCCTCCCCCACCAAAAGTACACAATTTCATCTTTGAAGGTAAAACGTCTGCGACCAGAAAGAGACAGCTGTTGTAATGACTTCAAGGTGATATTAATATGTAGAATAATTCTGAGAAACAGTGCAGCCTGGTATTAAAAACAAGAGGGGCTGAATGGGAACTCGTCGCTGGGATTTTATGTAAGCCAGCATCATGCACCACATTACAACCTTGGGACCTGGGCTACGTGTTTTGGTAGCCATTATTCTAGCTGTCGCACCTTAGCCTCTGGTGATGGACCTAAGTCTCTACCTCAATCTTTTATTTATTCATTTGGAAAATGAAAGTCATAGGGCCAAGAGATGTTTCCTAAGCGAGTCACAGTATCCTTAAAGAGATTTAAAAATGGCAGCGATGGGGGCTGGAGAACGACAAGTCATCTGGCACTGGGGGAGGTGCAGCCAGAAGTAATCCAGAATTCACTCCCTGGAGTAATGGATGATTTGCCAAATTTATTCCATAGATTGGTCCATTTAAAACACTTATTCCTAATCATGGCAATCACTGGAAATCTCCAGATTTTGTGTGTTCAGATCATTTACCTCAGAGCAGAAAGAAAAATCTTAAACTAAAAGAACAAACATTTACCTGCAAGATTTCAACCTGTGGGTGTTTCCTGCCCTGCACTGAGCATTCTAAACCCCTTGTCCTGCCTGGGAGGGCAGTGTACCCCAGGAGGGCTCCAGAGAGAGGAGGGGAAGAACGTAGTCCTTGGCCCTGAGTGCAGGATTCCGGGGAATCCCCGGGGACCCCGGGGAAAAGTGCAGGACCCACAGGAGCGTTCAGAATGTGGGCACCAAAAGCAGCCCTGTGTTCTTTGTGGGGGGAAATAGGGCATCAATTAACGGGCGTCTCCAGCCTGCAGTCTCTGCTTCTCCCCCATCCCTGATGTTGACAGTGCAGCTTGGCCACTAGTGTGACTGTGTCTCGATCTGAGAGGAGAGACTTGGGCGCATTTTAGAAAGGAATCTTACCACTTGGGCTGCATTATCTCTGGGTTATCTGTTGTGCTTTGTAGCAAGGTGGTAGCAGGGTTTTGGGGAGAGGGCTGTATTCATTTTTTTGTTTTTTGTTTGCTTTTTGGTGGTGGTATTGGGAACTAACCCAGAGCCTTTTCACGAATCTACCTTCTTGACTGTTTCTTCCTATTTTTTCTCACTTTGAGCTAGGGTCTAATCAAGTATCCAGAGTGCCTGAGCTGGACTAGAACTTCTGATCCTCCTTTCACAGCCTCCCAAAGGGTTGGCATTTCAGGACACATCACCATGCATGGGCACGTTTAATGTTTAATGCTGTGAATAGTACGGTTGGCCTTCCTGACAGCTGAGACAGTGAAAACAGGAACAGCTGCTCCGCACCAGCAAACCAAGACATCGGTGCAGAAAAGGGGGCTGCTAACGTAATGACAGAGGGTAGGACACACACTAGTGACTAAAACAGGGCCACCCAGCAAAACAGGACATGCTCTGCTGAACATAGGAAACACTGGAGCAGGGGAAAGGGACCTGAGTCCCCCAGGTATTGCACAGGAAAGGCGAGGGCTCCGCAGGGCACAGACACTTATGTCCAGAAGGACATCAGTGCTTACATGGATAAGGAGCATGCTGGACTCATTCCACACAGCCTCCAATTCACGCATCCAGCCACACGGCTCTCTTAGTGGCTCTGTGAAACTGAGCAAGGTTTTGTTTCCCAAAAGACAGGTTGCAGTTGAAATGTGCCACGTTTGAGCAGAAGAGAGAATTCTGAAAACACAAGGGTTGGCCTTCACGGCACAATGAGCTGACCAGTGTGCCCCTGGTGGCACAGAGAAAGTAAAGACCAGGTTTCCCAGCTCACAGGCATGGACTTGGATTTGGACAATGTACATGTAGATTGTCATCTTGATGTCTATACAGATGTTCACCACAGAAAACAGGAAGTGAAAACTGCCAAAAGTTGATATCTGATACAATTCAAAGTGTATTTGGATTGTCTTTGCATATTCCACAAGAATATGAATTGTATAGATCCCCACTCAGGATCAATGCTGTAAATGCCCTCACTGCGTTGTACACGGTGCTGCCAAAACAGGATACAGTTTGCTTCCCCACCCCCAGGTTTATGCTTTTACATAACGTTTTGAAAGGGCAGGGAGGAGGAAGAGGGGAAGGAAACATAAGAATGAAGCTGTCATGTATACGCACTAAGTCCCCACCAAGTGTGATCATTATGTGCCACAAATGTGTACTAATAAAAATTAAAATTACGAAAAGAAAGTTTGGATCACCATGCTGTGCCCTCCCAACACACAGAAACACTTTGTGAGGTTTTTGACTCCCAAGAAAGGAAGCAGGCTGTCCTCAGATGAAACAATGCTTCGTGTCCCCAGCTGCAGGGGACAGTTTACAATGCTGGGCTGTCCAGAGTTCACAGCTCCACATGTGGTGCCGGCCTTCTCCTGTTTGTCTGCTGAGGAGGAGCATGGTGAAGAGCATCTCAGCAAGACAGAAACGAGGCTACTTCTGCCAACAGGTGGCGCCCTTGGAGGAGGCTGGGGGCCTGGGAAGGTCCATGCTGCAGACGCCTGCGGGGACCAAGGTTACCTGTGGCTGTGATGAGAATGCAGACCAGTAAAGAAGGACATATTTTCTTGAAACAAATCTGCTTCATAATTGAAAAAAAAAAAAAAAACTGTTACCGAAAGAGGTAAAAGGATTAAATAATTTTAATGTATTTACTTGAAATTTTAACTTACACTGGAAGCAAGTTTGAATTCATTTCAAATTACCTCTGTGCTTTCAACCCATTTTCCTTGACAAAGACAGACTCAAATCACAACATTGTTGGTGTGACTCCGAATGTGTACAAGTGCAGGAAATTTCAGACACAGGTGTTAAGAGGCGTTCACAGGGGCAGTGGACAAGGCTAAGGAACAGCTGGGCTACCAGCACCTGGCCAGGGACAGAAAGCAGTCACACAGGCTGGGGAAAAGCACACCCAGTTTGACAGTGCTACCATTTGCTGCTGCTCTCAGTGAAGCCCTCAGTGTCCCCTGCACCTGCATGGTCCATTCCTGGAGGTGAGGTAGATCCTCGCTTTTCTGACACATGTGGTCCCCGGTCCTAGACCTGCAAGTCAAGGTGGAATCTGTGCTCAGCTGTGTTCAGTTTCCATGGCTAAAAAAATAGACAAACACAGGCTAACAGCCCCAGACAGGCCAGACAATGATTACAGAATAAGGATGCAAAGAATCAGGGTATCCTTTTGTCCTGTGAAACCAAAAAATAAATAGACCACTTTGTATTTTCAACATCTCTAGTATCTCCTCAGTTAGCCCTATGTTTATATTCTTTACTAAAACCCTTACATTTATGAGTCTTAGAAATATCTAATATCTACAGCATACACATTTAAACATTCAATAAGGATTTTAACAAAAACTGCTTTGAAAACAACAATAAATATCATTTAATATTAAAATATTAATTTACTTAATATCAAAATATTTAATATTAAATGCTATTAAAATAGTTTTATGTTTTTATCCTAGATAATCTCATTTGTTAGCTTCACTCAATTACCTTGATGGCTGGCCTATTTTGTTAAAATAATATATTTAGGAAATAGAAAAGGAACTATTTTAATAATTCCACAGAAGCATCACATTTTTCTTCGAGCTGTAACTCATGTATGTACTGACATGCACAGTGCAGGACACTGCTGCTATCTGCTGGGTGGCTGTCGGTTGCACTGTGTGTATGCATGTGGTCACTCTGATCCGCATGTCAGTCTGGAATTCTAAAGGCAAGACATTCCCTTCTTCTGACACACACATCTCATTTCATCTTTCAGCATGTGTTAAGGTACACAGCCAATGACTTCATAAGAAAAACTTTTTCAACCAAAGTAAAGGAAATTAATGCTCTCCCGTGCATTAGAGGAGTTTGCATTTCTTACAATGCGATCAGCTTGTGGATGTTTGTGTGAATGCAGACAATCTGAGGTCAGAAGCTACCTGACTCCAGAAACTTCAAGCACCGCCAACACTGCCAGCAGATGAAGACCTCTGAATAATGATGATGAAATATGCCTTGCTGGTATCTAATAATTAAATACAATAAAACAACTCAATCACAATTTAGCAAGCTGTCACGTGCAAATAGATGAAGTCAATACTTGCAAACTCTCAACATAATCAGAATTTTGCCTTTGTAAGAACATAACACAGTTTTTTGAAAAACAACAATACTAAATTATGTTTTCTTTCTTTCTTTTTTTTTTTTTTTTTGTCTTTTTCCTTTTTATCAGTACTGGGGATCCAACTACTCACAACTGCCTGCTTCCAAGGCAGGTGCTTATGCCCCTGAGCTAAACCTCCAGCCCCATAAATTATGTTTTCTATCCAAAAGTAAGATGCAACCCATCAGATGTGATACTAGTTTAATGGTAAGATAGATGAGTTATTATTTAATTAAAGACATTACATAAAACAAATCTAGGACACAGAAGAGATGTCCGAACTAAAAGGTTGAAGTAATATCTGTGATGGACTTAGAGGAAAAGGAAAGGGTTGGAAAAATATTAATTACGTGGCGACAGGAGTCAGGTGGATAACATGTCACAGTCCATGAAGGCTATGCAGAGCCTGCCCACTGTCAGGCCTGTGAGGAGCAAGAGAACAGAGACAGATGAGCAGCAAGTTATGTTAGGAAAATAAAAATGATAAAGCCCTGCAGACTCCTGCTTCTGATCATTGTTAAAAAATGGCTTCAGCTTTCCAAAAGTCAATTGAATTTGAGCAGCAATTTTGGAAAGTAAGCAAGTTTTGTCAGGAAGAGGTATGAGAGGGTCATGATTAATGATCACAGGGCAAGATTTATGGCTGAATTTCTGAGAGGAGAAATGGTGGAAAGAAGACAGGTGCAGGACAGGACGGCAGGGGATTGAGAAGGAGTGACTCCTGATGACATGTTTCTCAGTGGGGAAGGAAAGTTAATGGGTATGCACAGACTATGGGGGAATTAGATGGGTCCTTCATTTGCATGTTTTTGCTATTATTGTTTGCAGGAGTTTGGATTTTTTCAACACTAGAAATGCAAGCAAAAGTCCTAACAGTTGCCAGTTAGAAGCAGAAAGACATTAGAAGCTGAACCAATGGGGTTCAAGGAAAACAATTACAGGTTAACAAAAATATCTGGGATATTATTTAGAGGTTTTCACTCAGAAGATATATGTAGGTGAATCCCTACATGCAGGGGCATAGTACTTTGGCGATTAAGACATTTTAAAGTGATATTAAGGCTTTTTTATACATATGCATATATGTACAATATATTCCAACCACACACACACAAAAAAAACACTTGTGGAGCTCTAATGATAATTATTTTTCAAAGGAGGAAAAACAACCAACATGTTCACAGGTAAAATTTAGATGATGTCTGATTATTAAGTACTTTAATTTCTTTAGTCAATAAATTAATTCCCAAAGGACAAAAATATAAATGACAATCTTATAGAATTTCTTAGTATAAACCACCTAAAAGAATGTTTCACAAGCAAAAGTATTTTTATAAATATTTTGGAGATCACCGATTCATAAATTTTGCAGTTAGAATTAAATTCATGTCTTATAACTGGATGTTACAGATACAGTGCAGTAAAGTCTTTTTTAAGTCACTTTTATCTTAGAAAGAGCAGAGATCCTGCTTTCTGTAAGGAGTAGATTATGTGTCCTGTATCCCATCACGCACTGTCTCATTGTAAAAGAGTATTGAGATTTGGCTAAAGGGGAGAAAATACCCTGCAATTACTGCCTTACATTTTGCTTTCTCTTTCTTGTTCTTCTTAACAGATATGCTATTATCTATATTAAATTTATTCTATATTGTATATTTTATCTCTTCCTTCAGACTTTCACATTTTGCCTTTAGCTGTATCATCGAGTATGTTTTTCAGTTAGTTTTGAATACATCCTGAGAGACAACACTATTGTTTCTCTGAGACAACTCATTATCTTTAAAACGCTTTCTGACATTCCCTTTTAAAGGTCAGATATAAAAGCAGCATTGAAATTATCTATACCATCAAAACAGATCACACAGGATGCATAGGTCACCGGTAGAAGTGATTATGGAAGAGATGATGAATTTGCAGTTAGGCCTGTCAGATGCACAATGTGCAAGGCCTGATCATCTGTCACGTCCTAATTCAAAGGGACATAGAAACACAACAGTGAAGACATAAACCCACTATTTACTTTTGCGGTAAAGGTGATATATTAAGGCACCCCCTCAGGCCTACATCGAAATTGTCTACCATTATAACAGAGACTGTGGCGCTGGCTACTTTACAGAGGACAGGACCATGTTTCTTGCAGCTCTGGGACTTGAGCAAGCCAAGGCCAAGGTCCTGAAGGCTCAATCTCAGCTCCAAGACAGCTTCTGGAATGCTACCTCCTCAAAAGCAGAGAGAATGTGGCCCCAGAGCAGGCAGCCAGAGCTCACTCTGGGCAGCTCTTTAATGACTTCTCTTCAGAGGCCCCGCCCCCAGTACCATAGGGCTGGTGATCAAGTCGCCACTCCCGGACCAAGGCAGTGCTTGGGACCCTCATTTCACCCATTGTGCTTAATAACCTGTTTTTCCATTTCCACTGTGTTGCATCCTACGTGAAGAGATTGAAGATAATTCGCCAAGAACCTAGATCCTGAAACAGCAGCTATTTTGAGGAATGGCTCAAGACCCCAAGTATTTAGGGGAGAAGCTCCATTTCAGAATGTTCAGCACATCAAGCAGGTGCAGTCTCAGGCATTTACCAAGTCAGTCCACTCATACAACTTTAAACACACTGTGTGAATTATTTAAGCTTTCACTGATGGGATCAGAGGTCTACTTTCTGTTGATTGTGTGGTTTAAGGAGGATGAATAAAGCTGGGATCTATGGTCTATTCCAATGTAAGACAGGAAGATTTGTTTTTGCTTCTTCCCTTTCTGAAAAATACTGGTTTTGATATGACTGAGTGTTTTGATGTATAAGAAGGATAATTAAGTTTTTCTCTCTAATTGGAAGGGTAGAGTGTAGGACTTTCCCCAGGAACAAATGTGAGAAGATTACTCTGGAAGGCTATGTGTTAAAGGAGGCTGCGGGAATTTCTTCAACTCAAACAAGAACAAGTGAATCCTGAGACTTACAGACAATACTGCAGAATAACGGGAAGATTATTTCTAGTTCAAATTTGCAGCAGACCAATCTGTTTCTCCTTCAAGGGCCCCTGTTTCCCAAGATCAGTTTTCCAGAATGTCTTGAAAAATCATGGAAATTGTCTTTCCTCTTTAGCCATTCAGAGGTTCTCATGAAGATATGAGGGAGGGGGAAAAATAACTCAAAAAACAAAGCAAACTTGAAAAAGTCTCTTATCACCAGTGTGGAAATTAGAAGGATACTGTTCTTAGTAGGATTTTGTTTTTCAAATGGGACCTTCATGTCACGCAAGTTCGCACTTGAGAACCTCCTCTTCCTCCACAGTTCGCCCTTCCGCCAGGGTAAACAGGCTGAGTCTCCCCTGCAAGTCTCTGACTTCAAACCCTCTCTGATCAATTTACTTAAAGAGATCATGATTGTGCATTTGGGTAGTTATTCTTTCAGCAGAGCTATGCAGTGAAATTATGAGACAAATGAGGACAACAACGGCCTCAGGAGGATCCCTCTTGTAGCACCCTCCTCTCTAGGATGCAGAGCATCCTAACCCATCAGCTTGAAATGTGGGGGCCTTGCTATGTTTGTATTTCTCATATAAGAAAAACAATGCAATACTGAAACTTGCGTGTCTGATTTATTTCACTTAAAATTATGACCTTTTATAGGAACTCAAGTACAGTATAAATGAAGAAAAAATAAATATAGATAATGAGAAATGGGGAAACAGCCAAGATCTTTTGCCTCAGGGGACCAAGAGATGGTGGGGAGGGGAAAAGATTGAAGATCTCTGAAGTCCACGCACCAAGGGCCTGTGATGCCTGTGACTGATTTTTGCTGCAAACACACACTAATAAAAATAGAAATACTTTTAAAGTAGCAACTTCTATAGGGTACTACCCCTTGACAATCATTTGAACAATAAGATTTGGATATTGAAGTGGACAATAAGATAAAAGTGAAAGCTGACACATTTTAAAATCTAAATTTACATACCCGAATGTGTGCTTTTGGCCCGAAAAGCTTTCAGGATACACAGCTGAATGGATCCAGTTATTTGATAAATATTTATTTTCTCCTTTCAAAAGCACTCTGAAATGAAGGTGCTGCCTTCTCAGACCCATGCTGGTGAAAACAACCAGTCCGTGTTGGAAGCTGACAGCTCCAGGGAGGGCAGCCTGTGGGGACTGCCCCAGGGAGCAGGTAGCCTCGGGCTAGCCGCTCAGTTAGTTAACTGACCCTTGAGCTGTTCTCTGAGGTTCAGCAGCTGAGGAGCTCCCAGAAGACTGCTTTTGTTACCTCTGGGTTCAGAAAATAAAATTGAACTCGAATGCCTTCAGGGGAAGCCAACCTTCAGGGCGCTGCCTCCCTGCATTCCAACCAGGACAGCTTTGCTGCCCTGCTCGGTTCTCCCCTAAAGGCATTTGAAACTGCAAACTCTAGAGCAGACAGGTAGGAGCAGACTAAAGGATAACACAGACCCAATGTTGACAGACTAGCCAGCCTGTATCATTACTCATTTTTAAAAACTTACAAACAACTAATATATTAACTCAAAGGCTTAAAAACATCACTGCTCAGTTTTAAAATCCTGCATGTTTCATGTGTTATCGATGATTATAAAATCCAAAGATCTTGATACTCATACTGAAGAGACTCCAAAACAAAGCCTCCATTTGATTTTTTCAATTTTATGTGGTGCATTAACCTTGCCCCCAAAGAGTTCCCCATGCACCCTAATACTGGGGATTAAACCCAGGGCCTTCCCAGGGAGTTACATCCCTAGAACTTTTTATTTTTATTTTATTTTTCTTATTTTGAGATGAGGCATTGTTATGTCTGAATTTCTCAGATGGGCTTGCACTTGTGATCCTCCTGCCTCAGCCTCCTAGAGAGATCACTGTCTGGGCCTAGTGCTTTAGATACGATTTTGCCTCTGGTTAGCATCTGCATGAAGGGAGCCATTCTACCTGTCGTTATCCTGTGTCACATCCAGTAGCAGTAAAGACCACCCAGGATGAAGCTGCTCGGAGCCAGGGGTCTCATTCCTTCTACCTGATACACCCTTTACTCCCCCATGGTCTCTGGATGCCTGAGGGAGACCCTGAGCGCTTTTTCTGGTGCCCATGACTCAGAGTTGAGTTGAGCAGATGAAGTCTCTGCCTTGCAGGAGTGCTCACTCCAGAAGGGAAAACACAAGGCACAGACACACTCATGTGTCTGACAGGACTGCAGGTGCAGAAATGGTGATGGGGATGAGCTTAGGAGCAGTGGCAACAGAGGGACTGAGAAGTACATGGCATCATCAGACCCTGGCAGACCCTGTGGGAGCTGGCACACAGTGGGCAGAGAGGAGCCGCTGAGAGTGAAGAGGTCAGAAGAGGGAGCCAAAGGGCCGGGGACTAAGGGGCAGAGTGTGCAGGGCTGGGACAGAGCCCTGGGACACTGCAGTGGCAGCACCACAGCCCCCAGAGGAGTGGGGCTCTCTGGTTGTGGGCAGCGGACAGGAGGAGGGAGCTGCCAGGCAGTTGACCATGGGGACACTCAGACTCCAGAGCTGGCCCTGTACCTCTGGGAATTATCAGCCTTGATTTCACCACCATCACACCAGCAGCTTTTCTGCTACTGGATGTGATATAGGATAAGGACAGGATAATGGCTCCCTTCATGCTGATGCTAACCAGAGGCCAAATCACCACCAAGTCAACCTCATGACAGATGTAGCTGGGAATGAGTAGGCTTTCAATCTGTAGTTCATTAACCAAGGAGGAGCACTGAGCAGGGCCACTCCCAAGCTGGGAAAAGAGAGAGAGCAGGAAGAGAAACCTGCTGGGCAGGTGTCCTCAGGGTGACTGCAGGTTCCTTCTCCGTAAAGACTTAAAGCACAAGGGTTTGTTTCCCTAGGGAGCTGACACAACCAGACTAGAACCTCCTGTCTTCAGCAGAAGGGATCTGCATGGAGACCGGACTGCTTCCTCAGAATCACAGTTTAATTAGCTCGCATTTAGCATGAGTGATGCCATTTTGGTTTCATCCAGTCCACTGGGGCTTAAAGCTGGGGCTCAGCTCAAAACAGTGGACCCCCCTCAATATTCTTGTCCAACTAGAGATATCATGGTGTGAATTATTTTAGTCTTAGCAACTCAACTACGCATGGACAAATCACTTTCCCATCATATTAAAAACTGCTCTTGGAGAGAGCACCTCCCAAGAGGGTGAGCAGCATCCTGCAAATGGATTCTGCCGGGAGGGCTCTTTAAATGCTAGTTGGCTTCAGGATAATGGGATTTTATTTATAAGTAGGTTACATGCTACATTAGAGTTCTGTCCTTAAAGTCAGTTCTGAAAGCTTTTCAGCATTATTGCTTTGGCTCTGTTACATCATTATTTACCAAAAGCAACATAAAATACAAATAATAGGAGGTAAGGAGGTAGAACTTTCTCAGAGGAGAAGCAGATCAAGAGGAGGAAGGGTAGAGACTGAGGGGAAGGAGTGCATGCGGTGAGTCCATTCATCTACTCTCGCCAAGGAGTGCCAGGGTTAGGGACTGCACACATGTACTAATAAAAACAATTACAATAAAAAGGATTTTAAAAGTCTGGATCATTTCTAGGATAATCCCACAAACCTAAAAAAAAAAAAAAACGATGCAAAGTATCTTACCACTGCAATTCTCAATGTGCAAACCTTTTTGTTATTAACTTGTTAAATCAACACATGGGAGAAATTAAAGATTTGATTTAGTCCAGAAAGGCTCTTCACTAGCAGTAATTTAAGAAATATAGTTATACCTATTTTTTCCCTGAAGTCAAACCACTCCTATGAATTTCTACTCTATACTGACACTGAAACAAAATAGCCTATTTTAGAATAAACATTAAAATATAATTTATATACACTCAATTATTTAAAAGATACACTTCATGATACAGTTGCACAAACACTATCACATTCTAACTTTAGAGCATTGTGTTCACTACCAAAGGGAATCTTATTCCCATTAGCAGTCACTCTCTGCGGCACGAAGTAACTGGTACTCTATCTCTGTATGTCTGTTTCCTATTTCAGAAACTTCATGTGTACAGGCTGACAAAATATTAGTCTCCTGATTGTTTTGTTTCACGTAGCATAATATTTCCAGTGTTCACCCCTGTTGTGACAGGTTCCAGAGCTGCCTTCCTTTTGTTCCTGAGTAATTCTTACCTAGTGTAGTTCATCTTCCTCTGCTCAGCACCACCTGGACATCCGTATCCTTCCCACTGTTTGTCTATTGTGGGATAAAGTTGCCATGAGCTCTCATGTACAGATTTTTGAATGCACACTCTTTTTGTTTTTCTCTGGTCATATCTCTTTTAAAACAAGTTTTAAACACGGTGCACTCCAGAAACTTTATCAGGGTAGTCATTCTGCTTCATTGGTGAAATCTGGAGAGAAAAGTTATTGAATGTCCTGGGTGTGGCCAGCTTCTGCATGTGCAGTTGCTTCTCTCACGTAGCGTGTAGGAATGCAGATCCCCTCATTTAACATCAAATCGATGCACACACAAGTACGAAACTATCTTCCAGGCTGAAAGTCATTACTTCAACTTGGAACAGAATTTTATGCTGAGCTGACCTGACTTAAATGTCTTGTTTGGGATTTCCAAGTCTGTGGTTTCCAGTGTAACTGCAGAGTTTTAACAATGAAAACACAGCAATATGTAGGAGGAAGACAAAAACCTTCAAATTTACTTTTCTTCATTCATTTGAATGTAGGGCAGTTGTTTACAGCCCATAGCAGAGTCTCATGTTATTTTATGTGCTGGATATTTTTTATTTTATGATGGGAGAATGTCCCAAGAGAGTAAGCAATTCAGGCTATGCAGTGTTAAGAATTCTACTCAAGTATTTTTTTTTAAACCTCATGTTCACCTCTCTTTTTGCTTTGTTTTACTTTAACTTTATTGTAATATTCCAGCTTTGTCCTTTACTTAAAAAGAAGGAGCAGACATGTTCGAGGCAAGGCAGTCCTTAGGGTTGGGGGTGCAGGTACTTGCTCTGGTGAAAAGTTGTTCCAAAATCTGGCCTTTTAAAAAAAAATTTCTCACTTTCTTGACACTGAATTTTCTCTAAACCATATGCCAGTATGACCACTGAAAACAGGGGGGAATAAGTAGAATACGTTGTTGCATAGATCATCAAAGAGCCAAATATAAACAGAAAAAATGCCTAGAAAACAAACAAACAAACAACAATGAATGACTGGGTATGTTAACTTGGAGGTCAGCATCACTCCGTTCAGAGGATACTCCCAGAATGCAGTGCACTGGCTCCACCTTTGTACCTGCATCTTCTTCCTACCACACAATTTGCTTAGCTCTTTGTCCTTTGAAATCTCACCATACCAACAGAAACAGATTAGCCTCAGGAAGCAGGAAGTCTGTAGCAAATTATACTATTACATGCTACTTAAAATGCATCTGTCTTGACTTCAGACACTTGGTGATATTCAGGAATCTGTGGTTCTTACTAGAAAAATAAAAGCACTGAGCTGTTACTGTCCGATTTTGTTTAAGGAGGAGAGCCGAGTGGACATCCTGCTCTGTTTATGAAATTTTGACAAATATGGATTCGGTGCTTTATCTCACTTGTACAATAACAAATACTTGGGTCAAATAGTTCTGGTGCAGGAGTAACATAAGGAAATTACCAGTATGTCAATATGCACACATTGTTAATGTATTGGCATGCTAGTTCTGTAATATTATAGGTTTATATATAGATTAAAATGTAAGAATTGGACTACTGATGGACAGTACTGATTTAGTAAAGGGATTTTGTTGATAAGGTGAAAGCTGAGCCTCTGGCCTGTAGAAGCTCTATCACTAATCAGGTATGAATCTTGAGCAAATTGCACAATGCCTCTAAAACCTCTAAAATGTCACCTATTTTCATCAGTTCTAGAGAATGAGAGAATGGTTAAATAAGCATTCATAGGTTGACTGTAAGGTGCATTGACAGGCATCCTGATTTCAGCAACTTTCAAATTCATTCTGGTTTTTCTGCAGCACATTACTGCAGAAGCCAACAAACAAGTAACCAGGGGAAAGCCCAGCTGTGGATTCTGTTCCTTACATGCATCCCAGACTCACTAATCTGAAAGCAAAGACCAAGCAAGTCAGTCTAGAAGCAAGGGTCACTCATTCTACAGGGATCCAAAGTGGAGAGGCAGCATGGTGACGCACAGCTACAAACCCAGCGTCGAGGGAGACTGAGGCGGGAAAATCATAAGCTCAAGTCCTTCCAGATCTAAAACTTTGCATTGTAATATCATGCCACACCCCTCAGGGATGAGGGTCTCTTTTGTATTAAGTTACTTGGTATTCATGATTCATAAGGTCCACAGTCACCACCCTTTGCAGGACAGGTGTCATGAAAGACTTTTTGTCCCTGGTTGGGACTAGTGTGGAGGAGACAGGAGGATTGGTTCTCTCCTCTCCATTTTCACTGGGTGACTGGGGACTGAACCTCAAGGCCTTCATGCTGAGCTACACCCTAAGCCAAAGCTTTTTCAGGTTCTCAGAGGAAGCTCACGGCCTGGGCCTGGGTCTTTCACACATACACACACACACACACACACACACACATTCACACCCACACACGCCCAGCTCCCCATGGGGATTTTCACTCTCTCCTGTGAGACACTAACTCAGAAGGTGATCTGACAGGAGGCAGAGCTAGAGGGTGACACAGGTGGCTGGGAGCAGCTGTGGACATAGATGCAGTGGCTCCTGTTGCCTGGCCACTCACCTCCAGGCCCAGCACAGTGGCCCAGGACTGGGGACTACTGCATGAAGAGGTCTGTTACAATTAGTCATCCAAAACAACTTCCTTCAGTTCATTCTGAGCCATTACTACCAAGATAAATATTTCACAAGAACATATTTTACCATGAAAGGACGATACGCATTTGAAAATAAGGAGTCCAGTCACTCTGGGAGGCTGAGTCAGTCGTACCTCAAGTTTGACCCCAGACTAGACAACTTACTGAGACTCAGTCTCAGAAAAAGATTGTCCAAGGATGCTGCTCAGTGTGAAGTCCTGGTTTTCAACCCTTAATATCTGAGAGAGATAGAGAAACAGAGACACAGAGAACAGAATTTAATTTTGGAAAAATGAAGTTCTCCCTGCTTTCTGCATTAGTCAGAAATGCTTTCTGCATTAGGCAGTTGGTGGTTAGCACATCCATAACCTCTATCGCTGCCTAAGACGTTTGGTGGCAATAATTTATTTTACTTTTAACTTGGTTGAAGTTATCATTTAACTTTCCTACTTTGAAAAATAATTGCAGCCTCCAGAGAAGTTGCCTTAGTGATCTATTTTCTGCTGTCCACACAACATGAATCATGTTGGTCTCTCTAAGCCCTCAGCCAGCCTTTTGCAATTCCCTGACTCCCTCCCAGGAGGATCGCACTGTGGGAGAAGAAGTTGTTTATGACAAGATCACCCTGTCTTTTTTTTACTTTCTGATACCTGTGCTAATTAAGATTTCATGTTCTTATAAAAAGGAGAGGTGTACCTCTCTGCAAAATGAATGAGGGTGGCTTTCTAATAATAGTCAAAATATTGCCTTATTCCCATACACCTGGCAGGACTTGGGAGCAAAGAGGATCACACGTGCCCTTGACACTGGCCCCTGCTTTGGGAGGTGATGGCTCTTTTAGGAGAATTATGTAAGCAACACAAAGGGAAACTAAGGAAGGAAGGAGTTAGTTTGGGCTTGTGGGCGACCAGAATCAGCCACTCCAGCAGGAAGGATGGATGAGATGGAAGTACTCGAGAGAAAGCAGTACAGAAAAGAAAGTTCACTGACCTCCTCTACTTGGCTGCAAGCAGAGCACGGATCAATAAAGACAAAAGACATCCTCTCCCCACTCTCTCAGCAGCAACACAGGTTAACTGAGAAGGCGGCATCAGGCCCTGACCTTCTGAGATGGTCAAAGGAGACACAGTAACAAGCTTTATTAACTAGCTGCTGGCAGCCACACACTGGCCTTTCCACAGGTGGGCAGCCCAGAGAGCCACAGAGTTCCTTTGCTTTGGTCTTGTCTAAGAAGACACTGATTTTTTTTTTTTTTTAAGATACTATATATAAACCAGAACCCAAAGCTATGTCTTTGAGAACTAGGCATCCTCCCGGCACTTTGTGACATGTGCATATTAATTACCTACTTTGCTCTTGTTAGTCTGTCTTTTGTTAGGGGAGGCTTTTCCAACTAAGAACCCATGAGGGTTGAAAAACAAGTGTGACTCTTTCTCTACATCCCAAGGCCATTTGGAAGGGGTGTGAAATTAGACCTCAAGACTCACTAGTCATGGGAAAGGGATGTTTTCAAGGTTACTGGACCTTGGTTCCAGAATTACCTTCTATTTTTGTTTGTTCAGAATAAAAAGCTTGAAATCTTTGTATGATCCCAGGTTTGAGGGTCAGTTTGGTCAGCAATAAAACTGAAGATCAAATTTATGGCCCAGACTGATTTAAGTGATCACAGGAAAATTTGTCCTGCACACCTGAATTGCTTGAAAAAGACTTCTGCCTTCCACATGGCAGTGTGGAATAATACACTATGTGTTGCTTTTTTTTTTTTTTTTTTTTTTTTTTAACAGAATCCTGTCTTTCACTCTGCTCGAGGAGTTTAAGGATTTGGTCAATATCACAAAGCATATTAAAGCTTGAGCTGAATTCAAAGCCCAGTCTGTCTAAACTCAAACTCATGCTCTTCTCTATATTTTCACTGATGTCAGATTAGCTAAGTCACTGGAAAGACAGCAGGACAGAAAGGTGAAGAAGTCCGCAGACTAAGCAAGCATGGTGTGCTGGGAAGCACTGACAGTGTGCTTGCCCTTGACCATGGTTTACCGAAAAAATATTTAACAAACTTTTCTGCAGAGTGCAAAGACACAGCTCCATTCCCAGAGACTCATGTCTGTAGGCCCCAAGAGGACAAAGCTGGTGACAGAACCTGCCAGCGGGACCAGGAGCAGGTTACTTGCATTCTCCAAGTTTACTTATTTACAAAATTGGTACATGGACGATCCTTCGAAACGGATAACCCTTTGATGATGAAATTTTAGGATGAAGCGCTCTCCGATTGCAAAAACACACTGCAATTACCATGGAAATAACTCATACTGAGACAGCGTATTTCTTTAACAAAATGTTGAATTATATCCAGTTTCCAAAACTTCAAGTTAACCAAGGGATAGTTAGTTGTGGAAGACTGATCACCAGAAGATACGCCCTTACAAACTGAAGCATGAAGAGTAAAGAATATTAAATCTCACTATGTTGAGTGCTTGACGTTTCAGATCCCATGCCATGGAGGATTTCTAAGAATCCACCCACTTACTCCTTGTAAACAACCTGCCATCATTGGCAATGCTGTGGTATCCACAATTCAGGGAAGGAACAGATCTAAGAAATGAGCAAAGTCTGCCACAGCTCGGATAGCTCCAGAATAGCAAACCCAGGGTTTGCCATCCACTCTGTCCAGCTGCAAAGCCTGGGTTCACTGCTGAGGTTGCTGTTGGCAGTGACCAGGTGTTGCCCCATAGGTGCTGTAACGCATCCCCAGAGGCTGTGAGTTTGGAGTTTCTACATCCCTCTTCCCCAGGTTACCTTCTGCACTTTTTCCTCCACCTCAGCTGCTGGACAGCCCCTGAGGGCGCTCCCTGCAGACCTAGCTGGCAGGAGGAGAGCTTCTCCCACCTCACACTACAAAGACAGATTTTGCAGGAAGGAAAAAGGAATGATTCCAGGCCGTGGAGTTTGAAAGAGTGGGCAGCTCCGATAATTTAGAAGGAAATCACGTCTCAGGTATTGACTAAGGAGTGAAAGGGGCTCACGAAGACCACTACAAATGGGGTATTCTGGGCTGAGCAGAGTGGGATGAGAAAGCGACACACGTTCAGGCTGGCTTAACTCAAGGGCTCTGAAAATAAAATGAAAATTTTCATTCTTCACTTGAAGCTGTTGGGCATGACCTGAGGATATTAAGGAGAAAAAAGTTGGTATTTGATCCAAAAGCAAGAAAGAGCACCCATCTAGTTTCTGAAAATAACAGATGAATCAGGGCTTGGGGACTTGGATGTGAAAAAAGAAAGGATAGGTTCCAAAATACAGCTGAAACCAGCTGATCCATTAATACAGCAAAAAGCGATGTCTGAGAGCAGAGAGCGTGTTTGAAGTTCCATGCTCATTACACACACCATAATGAATAGCAAAACTCATGCCGGTGCAGAGATGTCATCTTTAAATACAAGCACATACCATGCACTGACCAGAGGAGCTGTGTTTAATTCCACAATTAAATTTGACCTTTCTCAAATGTATTATTTATACCATTTTCATCATTCATCGCCAAACTTCAGACCCTGTGAAATATTAAGACAATATTAAATACATTTAGAAAAACATTCTGTATGGTGCCTACCCTTTGGAAGTTTCTATTGTAATTAAATTGCATTTAATATCAATGCATTTTATTCTTATTCCTTAACTGAACACCACCAAATGCAATTCTGAGCCATCTAGGTTTTTTTTAAATAAGAAAATATTCACTGAAATAAGAAAATATTCACTCTATCTAAAGATTAAAGTTTTGCTTAAACCAGTTGCAAAAATTAACATGAGTTATTTAATAAACACCAACTTTTTTTTTTTTTTTTGTCTTTTTGCTTTTTATCAGTACCAGGGATCGAACTCACGACTGCCTGCTTTACAAGGCAGGCGCTTATGCCACTGAGCTAAATCCCCAGCCCTATAAACACCAACTTTTAACTTATCTTTGTTTATATGGAGCAGTGGTCCATGCAGCCCATATTTTCTTTATCTATCTGTGATCACCAAGATCTCACTGTTATAAATTGTGTTGCTACAAACAAGGATATGGGTGCTATGCCTTTCGTCTCACTTCTTTCATTAACATATTCTTCTATTCAAAATATGTATTTTTAAAGTTGAGATTTTCTCATATTTTGCTTTACTATGTATTTCAAAATTATTTTATTAGTGGTTGCCTTGAAAATTAGCAACATATTAATTTATCACAATCTAATTTGTATTAATGTCAAATTAATTTTAGTACAATGCATACAAACTGTATTCCTATTTAGCTCTACTGATGCCCTCTTTCATTTTGTTGTCCTAGATTAGGTCTTTTATATTTCATAAATATTGTGAAAGCTTCAGAAAAAAGGGTATAATAAGGAAGAGAAAAAAGAATACCTTAAGAAATAATGCATGAAAAGTTCCTAAATTTAATAAGAGACAAGTCTACAGTTCCAAGAAGCTCAAGGCTCTAAGTCAAACAAAGTGAGATTTACATGAAGATACATCATAATTGAATGCTGAAAGGTGCCACAGAGAAATTATCCTTATTAAACAGATTTTCAATAAGATTAATAGTTTATTCCTCATTGGAAACCCTGGAAGTCAGTAGGCAGTACAGGATATTAAGGAGAAGGAATATTAAATCTCACTATGTTGAAGGAACTGAAAGGAGAAGTCTGTCAACCAAGAATTCTACCTCCACCAAAACTTTCTTTCAAAAAAGTAGAGAATCCTAGACATCTCCTGATAAAAGAGATTCCATCACAGTGAGGGCTCGTCTACCAGAAATACTGAGAGAAGTTCCTCTGGATGGATGGATGGTAGGAAGAACCCAAATCCACATGAGGAATTGGAGAACACAAGTAAATTTTACTACTTAAGTATGCATGGAATTCTAGATGTATTTTTTGTAATTGCTTAGTTTTTCCTGTCTGAGTTAAAAGACAGCTGCAAAAGGCAACCATTATAAACTAAGTGGATGGGTACGTAATACACAAAAGAGAATTTTACAACAATTCACAGATTGCTTCTGACACTGTGCTTTCCTGAACTGTCTGGGAACAGAGGGACAGGTTTGAGTTCTGCTCCTCTTCCACAAGCACTCTGCTTCTACAACACACACACACACACACACACACAGGCCTTGGAGGTTGAAAGAGTAGGCAGCTCCACACATGCACACACATGCACACACATACTATTGTACTCAGGGGTTGTGAGGAGAACAATTAAAAACAGGACATGTAGTTTATAATTTTATTTTATGATGGTCACCCAGAGTTAACACAAGAAAATGCAGGAAATCTGTCCAAAACACTAAAGACAAGAATATTCAGCCAAGGGCCTGAATCCCACAGCAATGTCCCACATGAGCCCACATAAAAACCCAGAGCTCATGACAATGCCTCCCAAGAGTCCAACTGGAGGTCCAGAGCCCACTAGAAGGACTCACGCTAGTCTCTTTTATGGATCCATGTCGGGAAGGCCCAAAGGTCAGCAATGTAAGCCAGAAAGTCCATGCCAGCGGGGTGAAGGAGCTGTGCTGGTAGGTTGAGGGTTCTACACTGGAGCCGAGAAGTCACACTCACAACAAAGACCAGGGGTCTCCTGAAAGGCACCACAGCCATCCTCAGCGACACAGAGGCCCTGAGCTCCTCTGACGATAAGCACAGTCTAGTACATGCCAGGAAGGCAGCGTGACGAATTCATTTTGGAGACCAGGCAGCACAGGTTTTCCCCTCTGAAGCCAGGAAGGGATGCTCAATGTGAGGACCAGAACTTCTCCAGGAGAACCAATGGCTCAAACAGTAACACGTAGGAGAACCCACAATGCTTCAGTGCCTCAACACCTCAATGCCTTCCTTCTCCTTCCCCACTCTATTTATGCTGGCAACTTTTTTAGGTGAAACTTCTATGCTCAGCGCCATTTTGATTTAATCTGCTGGCATTAAGCTGACCACCAGTTTTTAATATATAACTCGCACACATACATACACATGCACGCACACACACGCAGACAAAGGGACAAGCACACACAGACAAGCATACAACTTTCACCCATACAGAATCAAACTATATTCCTCTTTCAAGGATAAGGTCTCCCAAGATTCCAAGACACTGGAAAGTTAAAAATCCTGGTTTAGATCATAAGGAGGTAAACCCTGTTCAGACAGCATCCTGTCTTCTTGCAATGCAAAGAGAAAATAATACACTTATCAAGTGGCAGCAAAGAAAATGAAATTTCCAAAATCAAGTCCTCTTTTCCTGCCTTACCCTATTGCATCTCTTTCTTGGGCTCCACACCCCTTCATGCACACTGCTGAAAAGAAGACTACTTTTATTCCTCGTACTCTGTCATTCTGCCCGACCAACTCAATCCATCAGCACCTCTGCAAATGAACATTTCTCTTCATTGTGGTTTTAGCTTATTCCTTCGGTTTTGATGTCATATTTTTTATCTTTTCCAGGATTTTTTGAGTACACTGAGGTTTCTCTCTATAGAGCACCACTAGGTTTCATCACAGATTCACTTTATCCTTCAGATCACAGTATCTGAGAGAGAATATTGAATCTATGATCTTTTCTAGGAGATCTTGCAGTATCTAAATGCTTTTGAAATAAATTTTGCCCAAAATGACACATTGGAGAAATTCAAGAGTTTAAAGTCACAACCCCAACACATCAAAAACTAGTTCCATTTTCTGCTTTTTCATCTCAAACTGGAGGCTGGCGATCATGGTCTGCAAGAGTGGATAACGCGGTGGTGTTTGAAAAGAGAAAAATATGTCAGAGAAAACCAAAGGAAAAGAGGAAAATATGTCAGAGGAAAACAATAGTCATAAAATTATCCAGGGAAAATTCCTGAAAGAGAATCATAAGGAGGGGTTAATCCAAAGCTGTTTTCCAACACTTGCTGCTCCTCTGGGACACTCAGGAATGTCAAGACGTCACTGCCCAGTTGCAGCCACCACAGGCACCGCAATTCTCAGGGTAGCACAGCTGAGCAGTCTGAGGTGTGCCCAAATCCCAGCTGCAAGCTGCACCTGTACACACACCACCACAGAGTGGGGACATTGAGATTCAGTGCCGGCCTCAGTCTCTCCTCAGAAATATGGACACAGCAAGCCACAAAGCTCCCATACGGCAGGGCACTGGAGCAGGACAGGCTGTGCTCTGAAAGGGGGTTTCCCTGGGCTCTATGAATGGTGTCTAGACAGTTAGGATCACCCTCAAATGGGATGAAGGCAGGCTGCATAATGGGCACACTGAAGATAAAGGTAAGAACACATTTGTCTTTAGATTTCATCCTCCAATGGGGATGCATTTCTGGTCAAGAAAGAGATTATCTTATGAAGCCTAGGAAGATTAATATTAAACAAGTAGATCTTTGGCCAATGGGAAGAGGAGCTAGAGATAGAGGGAGGTGGAGAGAAGCGAGAAGAAGGGGGGGGGGTAAGAAGAACAAAGATGTGCTGGGTCCAGGCGCACACTCCCCACAGTGAATGTGCTCACTATGTCCTGCAAATCTGTCCTAATAAAAATAAAACAATCCTAACATATGTTATGAAGCAACCTCTTATTGCGATTTAAAAATATAAGGATGCATTTTATATCAATAAATATAAACCTACAAAGGCTAGAAAAAGCTGCACTATAAAAGATTACCTTTGACTTATGTAGATAATCCTCTACTGACAGACATGGGAATGCTTTTAATGTTTCGGGTTTGTTTTCACCCCTCCCCAAGATAATGATTTATACTCAAAATTTGTGCTAAGGTTAAATTTCCATCACTAATGGATGAAAATTTCTATTCTTATCTTCAGCAAGAATGAGTTTTCTACTACACAGAGTTTGTGCTACATCCCGGGGAACATTACAAGTAAAGTATTGTGCATTTACATACAAACCTGTCCAAATACACATTTCCAAAAAGTCCAGGAAAGACACAAAGATGCACCAGATGATTGGAAATGGGCTGTGGAGTCAATGAGACCAGAGCAGAGGGCACAGACTCAGATGCCAAATCCAGGGTTAACTGTGAGACAAAGCCAGGATGACTAACGCCCTTTGTCAAGAAAAACGCGTTTGAAAGGAGAGAATCAACAGTGACAAGTCTCTACATTATAAAATGTCTACATGTCCAAATTTCTCCTACTTTAATAAAATGTCAGTATGTTCCACCATTTTGAGAGTGGAAGAAAAACTTATAGAAGAGTTTAGAATGGAATGATCAGCCAAAGAACAGAAAAATAAGGAAAGGGCACCATGACAGAAGGTAGACGAGATGATTTTTAAAATGGAATTAGAACACCAAGTAATGACAATCAGTACTTGAATCTTCCTTGGTCCCAAGTCCCCTCCAAGCACTCTGCAGTAAGGTCTTTAGAGCATCTTTGGTATCGAGGGCCTGATTCACGAGGAAAGCAGGATACTAAGGAAAGACGACGGCTTAGATGTTTACTTGACTTGGGCAGTTTAAGGAACTCAAAACCTCAGGTTCAGGAAGGAAATATTGCTCTCTGCAGAGTTCCTGTATATGTAATGTTTACACATTCTCCACTTCAGATGATTTCCAGAGCCAGAGTTCAGCAGATGCAAGCTTGAAAGCTGTGAGTTTAAACATCTCAGAGTAACAGCTGAGAACTTGATCTCTGGAAGAAAGTAAATCCCAGGAGGCAGAGAGAATGGGAGTTTCACAGGTTCACACCCGGGTCTGACTGCTGCTCCTCAGGGCTTTGGAGGAGCTGAACTGCAGAAGTCAGCCACTCTGGAACTTTTCAAGAAAACATCCACTAAATTAACTTGCAATTAAACTAATTTTTGTGTTTGCACTGCTTAAATATCACTGCTTTGATACAACCACCATCATTACACTACAATCCCCAAAACCCCCAAAACCGCCTTATAGCAGTTCTTTAAAATCACATCATCTCCTCTCCAGTACTGAGTGGCAGACATTACTCTACTGTTTCCGCAGCCCTCCCATTTCCAGAATGGCCTATCAGCAGGAAGAAGTATGCATGTTTTGGGAATGCTTTCTCTCCCTGATATAACCCTTACATCTATGATTTCATACTGGGACACCTACAAATGGAGTACAGGTATCATCGACATAGAAACATACGCAAATACATATGCTGATGTAGAACAGACGATAAAATACACAATTAATTTTAATTTTGCAAGAATTTGTCAAACTCTTCTCCAGAAGCACCCTACTGTGTGGTGCTATTTTTGAGCTACTTTGCTTTAAAGATTGCTTTACATATTTATCAGCACACAGTGGTTTATATTTAATTTTACATTGTGTACATTTAATATACATTTAATTTTACTCATTCTAATGCGTTGTGGTACCTTACTGTTATTAAATTTGCATTTCTGTAATGGCTAATGATCTTCTCATGTACTTACTTATTATCCATACATCCTGTTAGATAAATGTTTATCTCCTCATATTTTCTTCCTATTTTAAAATTAAATTGTTTTTCTTATTCTGCTGAGTTATGAGCAGTCTTTAATATTCTGAATACATCTGATAAATACTTTAGAAATAATCCCTCTCTGCTTTAATGGCTTGTGGTTAATATTTGCATTGTCTTTCACAGAACAAGAGTTGTAAATTTCATTTCTCTCTGTTATTTAGCTATCATCTATCTATTTTCCTCTCTCTCTCTCTTTCTACTTTTGTGGTGCTAGGAACCAAACACAAGACCTTGTATGTGCTAGGCCAGTACTATACTAGTCCTAGACCAGTACTATAGCCCAGGTTCCACCCCTGTTGTCTAGATTTTCTTTCTTGTTGTCCAGATTTTCCTGCCTTTTATGTAATAAGAGCTATTTATCCTCCATCTCTACTTTTATCAGGAACACCAATGTGTTCAGACAAATTGGTGTATGTTTCTAGGATAACCCAGTCTTCTCTCTCTGCCAGAAGCTGTCTTTGTGCTGGCATCCTCCATCGGGATCCATGGAAGGAAAGCGTTCAGGCTTCTCTGCTGGGTTTCTCTCTCCTGCCTTTTCCCTGATGCCTGTGCCCTGGTTGCTCTCTTCTATCGAGGTGTCCACCAATGGAGATTTAAGGGAGTGCTATCAAGGATGCCTATTCTTGTGGATAATTTAGGGTGAATTGTTCATCTCATGAATTGTTTTCAACAATAACACAGTAAGCCTGACAATGTCAAAGGATTGAATTGCACTCTAATCATAAAATTATAATAGGAACACAAATAATTGAAACTTGTTGTTTAGCAAGGGACCTTAAGAAGTGGTAGGAATTGCTTTTACAACAGAATTGATCCAATTTGAACGGTGAAACAAGAAAATATAATCTGAATCTGCAGGCCTAGAATTAGTCATGTACACAAAATCTAACTCATGCTTTATTGTTCAAAAATCCTTAAATTTAAAGCATTCAAAATTAGGGAGGAGCTGCCTGATTTCTAAAGATCCTCCACGATGAAGAAACAGCTGGTGAGTGCACTCAGAGAAAAGTGTGCCGTGAAAACACTTTCGGACAAGAGACAGCTTAGATAGTGTTTGTCTGCTAAGGACCAGGAGGAAGGTAAATTGAGAATAGGTGTGGTTTAACCGTGCTGTGACACAGCTGACACTATGCTGAAGTTCCAATGCCACTCTGGAACAAGAGGACTAAAACTCAAGCAAGATGACTCATAAAGCCACAATATTTGCAATGTATCATTTGGGGTTTTCTAATTAAACCCAGTGAAAGGTTCAGTATGATTTTCTTACTGCCATACGTAGTACAGGAATAAAAGCAAAACATGTCAGGTAGAACAGTATGTGCTGGTCTTCGTCGGAGGAATTGGAGCTGGTAACCCACAGGGATTGGGGTCTCTGTGCTGGGGAAAAGGAGTATGGCTTGGGACAGCTCTGTTAGCCCTGCTGTAGTTGGGCCCTTCTGGGATAGATTGTGAACATCTGCAGAAGGTTTCAAAGGAAATCTCCAGGAAATGCAGAGGAAATCTCAGTGTCCAAAGGGGAGAAATGCAGTTCTGAAAGCTGCACAGACATGCTCAGTTCTTGAAGTTTAAAAGGTTAATTTTCAGTTAGGACAAATTTAATTCTATATACGCATGATATTTCCCCTATCCCCCTACACATACACAACTTTTCTTTGCTAGTAGCTAAAAACAGAAGTGTGGCTTCAATATGAAAAAACTTCAAGAAAAAAAAAATATTTCTTGTACTTCAAAAGCAGGTAGTTTAGTACCAAGAAATGTGAACATAACTGATACATTAACATGAATGTGGCCATTGCTAATGTAATTGAAAGAACAACTTAATTACATGCAAATGTATATAAACACAGACATTCTTAAATTACTAGCACATTATTTAATAATGTCTATGCAACTAATTTAAACAATAATAGAACAATTTATAGGTTGTAATGGTAATTTTAAACCAATGTATTTTATCTGATTAGGAAAATTATTTTCTTAAGTGTGCTCACTGGCTTATGCATGTAAGAAATAGCAACTTCATCTCATAGGAAAATAAAACCATGCACCTTGGTTTAAAAATACACAAACACATTTTAACTGTGTGACACTGATGCTCTTTTGGCGGCACTGAATTCTTTTGAATAAAAACCTGTGCAGTGACAGAGGCATGCACTGAGTCTCATTTCCTTTCCATCTTTGGAAATGGCTGGGACAGCCAGGTTCTCAACTCCTCCCACCTTCAGGGCATCACAGGAGCTTGTCCTGCCTCCAGGAGCAGTAGCCACAGTGCAGAGAAAGTTGGGTACTAGCAGACAGCATGGAAAGCCCCAGTTAGCATCCCATGTAGGAAGAGAGGGCAGTGTGAGCCAGGATGGTGTCAGCTGCTGTTGAATTCAGCAGGGAGTTGATCACACAGAAAGGACTCATTTGGTGTACAACAAAGGACCCTATGTCCATTACTGTATTAAGCCACTCTTATGTGTTGTTCAAAATTTGAGAATACAACTGCACAAGTAACCAAAGAAATCAAAGCAGGACTGAATATTTTCATGACTAGAAGAGGGCACAATAGTTAGTGGCATGAGTTTCTATCTCAAAGCCATGTGGTGTTGCCCCTGGAGTCTTCCTCCCAGCTTGCCCTGCATATTTTCCATGGAAGTACAGATCGTACATCATGTTCCCATGGATTGCCCAGCACGTCCTTTCTGGAACATTCCAGACTGCAGCCCTATCTGTTCATTTGCACTGTGTTTCACTTGCTTAACCCACAAGAGAGATAGCAGGCAAATTTCTCCACAGCACTCCCCAATCCTCGTCCCTCTGACTTCCCTCGGCCCCAGGCCTCATGCTGCATGAGTGGAGCATGTTAGTTCAGCACTAGAATCCTCTCTCTAGGATGATATTCCCGAGAAGCCCCTAACCAGCTCTCCTGGGATGCCCACCTGCCCAGCAGCAGCCAAACACTTCCCAGCTCCGTCAATGATGCTATGCATGTGCAGGGGTCGCACTGTAGACAACGGAGCAAGGTAGAAACTAATAGGCTTCCAGAGAGGGCTTGGGCTTTCAAAGGAGGGAGTGTGGGAGATGAGTCCATCAAAATATAACCAGGCCTGTAAGCCACCCGAGAGATACATGGCAGCTTGAGATTACACTGCAATTAGCATACCTGGTCCAATGAGCTGAGATAGGGTGACAGAATCCAGGTGGGTGACCAGAAGTCCCCTGCCCAGGCCCCATCTCTTTTAGGATTGCATTGTTTTACATGAGACATTCCAACAAGCTAACTTGGATGCTCACTTGGTTCCCTTGGTGCATGCTCACTTCCCTGCTGGTTCAAAGTTGCCCAAGGAACCACACTTGTAGACCGGTAGGTTGCTTATGCTTTGATCCATTGCTACCCAGATTGGGACTTTACTGTGTAGAATACTCTTGATGCAGAGCCCTAACTGTGACCCACTCTGAGGACCTCTTCTGTCTCTCAGGAGCTTCTCTCTCTGCATCTTTCCTGCTCTTTACCTCCTCTATCCTCGCATCTACTCTTCACTGTCAGAAAAGAACAAACTGCACATCTGACTTCTGAGAGGAGTTGCTTCCCCATGAGAGGTGGAAAGGAGTAGAGAATCCAAGGCCTTTGTCACCCCTCTTCAGAGCCCGAATCAAGATCTGATCACCTCATAAGGACAAACAGTGCAGACAGGCAGGCAGCTCAGCAGTTTCCAAGAGAGCCAGAACGCTGAGCCCTCCTAAGCAAGGTGCCTCATTGTACAGGGAGATCGTGGAGTTGCTAGGTGGCTTTGTGAACAGGACCTAACCCAAACACAGACTGTGCCCTACCTGCCATCCTCATCCCTCAGGTACACAGTGAGGGTGACAGCCAGGGAAGCAGAGCCTAGATTCTGCAGCCATCACCCACCCAGCGCAGGGGGCTGCACAGGTGGCTCCCAGCCTCTCAGAGCCTGTGCGGGGCTCTGCTGTAAGGCTGGTACAGCCTCTCCAATGAGGCACCCCAGCTCCACCACAGTACAAACTCCCAGAAACCCCTTCTCCTCTCCTCATGGAGTCTGTCCCAAGGGTTAATTCTGCACATTTAGTTTCCAGTCTGCTTCTGATCCCCACACTGGCATTAAACCAGGGACCTGGTCAGCACTATACCCACAGCCCTGCAGAATGTGACACCCAGAGAGTGCTCAGCAGAACACCAGTGACTGAGGACAATACAACTGCAGGCAACGCAGTGTCATCCAAGAAATTTATTTCAACATTTCTAAGGCTGAAATATGATGTGGGCTTTGATATACAGGCTGTGACTATTTCTTTCTTCTCCAGGTGTATGCATGCAGAAGTGGACTCCTTCCACATGAGTGCCATAGCCTGAGCAACCCAGCTGTTCTTCCACAATAAACAGGAAAAGCAAAAGTGCAGGTCACTAAATCCATATAGAAAAAAAAATACCAATTCTCCAATAATTGCAGCAACTGGAGTCTGTACAGACACTGCAGCTAATGGTCTCTGCAAGGCAGATGACAATAAAGAAACACAAGCAAATGAACTCCAAACTGTTTCACCATGTTCACAATACAGTTTCAGAAATAATAAAGAGAAACACACAAATGCCAGAAATATGCAACGGGTACTGCCACTTGTTACTGTGGTGTTCACTGAGAAGTTTTAGGTGTGCAAAATCTCTGGAATGAAACCTTGTGCTCTCATACATGTAATTCTCTACTGAATTTCTGAAGTATCTGCATCTCAGATACTTTCTCCAGATGCGTTCCTGAAAGAGGAGGTAGAGTCAAAGAGGTCAGGCTGTTAACACATATTTAATGAGGCCTTCAATGAGGAAGAGGTATGAACACTCATTCTTAATACTCCCTCAGCACTGTTCCATCTCTACTCAATTTAATATCACAAAATTGTACTTTGGGTTAAACTCATGTTGAACAGGTGCATGATTCCCTTCTGTGAGGTGCCATTCCATTCCCCCGTCTTTTCCCTCCACATGCTGATTGTTTGCCTGTGTGCTGCAAACACATGCTGGAAATAACTTTCCAGCTTCTAACCACTTTTTTGATTGGACCTTGCACTTCTGGACTTTTTTCATTTCTTTTACAATGTTCAATGCTACTTCGCATTCCGGCATCAGTGTTTGTTTTCTAGGTGATTAGGGCATCATTTTCCACACTTTGATTTACATTAAAACTGACTGAGTGCACTGCCTTAACTGAATTTTTTTCCTCTCAAATGGTTACTCAAGAAGCACTTCTGAAGAATGCTTTACTGTTAATTGATCTCCATGCTAGTGTATCATGCAGAAACACCTCCGCAGTGCTGGGGGTTGGTGAAGGCTGCCCACTGGCAACCAAGAGCAAAGTGCCAGAGAATAAGGAGGAAGGGAACAGAAGCCGCTCTGAGAAGCCAGAGGATTTCCGGCCGAGGAGCTACAGTAAAAGCTCGCCCCTTCCTGCTGGTTCCCATGAGCCACCCCAGGCCAGGCGTGTTCTTGTTCAAGGATGGTTCTTAAGAGGGTCCGTCAAGAACTTTAAAAGACTTTGGTTTCTTTATTTCCTCAGTGTAATATACTAACCATTGTTAATGTTCTATTATTTTTTGAAATTCTGTATCTTTTTTAAAACTTTTTTTGCATTTAAAAAAAAAAAGGTAAGCAGAAAGCACTCATTCTAAGGAGATGTTCACCCAGTGATGATAAACATGAAAATTAACTTATTAAATGTTGAAAGTCCCGTTTAGGCAAAACATCAGGCTTCTAGTATAATGTAATCCAAATTGATTCTTCATGAATAAGTGGACAATTAATCAAGATACAGTGCATGAAAGATTTATACTCCTACTTCTTTTGACATGGACTATTTAAAATGTTTATTTCTCATAGATCTCATTCTAACTTTCATTTTTCTATTTTGTATGTCTGGTCCCTATAACTGACTAGCCTTGGATATTAATGAAATTCTTAAGAGCTTCAATTTGCAGAAAATATATATGTGTCCCTGAAAAATTAGCAGTTTAGAAATTAATTTAGGAACAAAATCATATTTCTATTCCAGTTTCTAACATAAAGTTGCAAATACACTAACCAAAGACAAAATGCTGGCCTCTAGCAGACATTAAAAAATCACATTAGATAGCAGCAAAACTAGTAAGAAACCACAGAAAAATGATGCTCACTAAAATATTAAAATTAAATGAAAACAAATTACATATAAATTTTAAACTGAAACTTTAAAATCTGTTTTGATTTTTTGTTTTGTAGTTTGAGAAGCACCTCTCTATGCATTCTAGGTTTGTCTTGAACCCGTTATGTAGCCCAGGAAGACCCAGAACTCACAGTGATCCTCCCGCCTCAGCTCCCAGGTGCTGAGATTATAGATACATGTCACCAAACCCAGGTTTGAAACTGTAAAAATCTTATCCCCATCAGGACTCTGGTCTAAGTGTTGACTGTGACAATTCTGACACCAACTGTGACCAGGAAACCCACACCTGCAGTGGGATGAGCTACTGCACGGAATATTCTTTTCTGGATGGAGCATGAACCATCGTTTGAATGTAAAGCATAGAGCACCAGTGTGAAGAACCCTTCGCTCAAACAACCACACAACCACAAGCCAGAACATCTGCTGGCACATGTTAGCCCTGTCACGGCCCGTAAGCAGAAGCTGTACCATCTTTATAGGTATGCTCTGTGGCGTAGAAGGACTAGCTGAAATACAAGCATGAAAAAACATGCACCTACGTGCATGTTTAAATTTTTAAAAATACGGCAAAGCCCACATTGCTACGAATTCCCTTCATTTTGGGCACATTTGTCCCATCATTCCTGCCAGTTCCTGCAGCAGTTTTGGAAGTCCCCCTTCCTACGTGTTCTTGTGAGATATAAAAAATGTGATGAATGTCTCTGTGGGCTGCCCTCCATCTTAAAGGCAGGCCCCAAAATAGATTATGGTGCATCCCCATGCACTTATTCACAAGACCTAGCATCGTGGAGCTTCTGGCTCTGTCCTAAGTCAAAATGACTGTGAAAGTTGAAGGCTTTGAATCACTTCAGAATACTGAGGCAGTCAAGACAGTGAAAGTAGAGACACTCGTGAAAAAGACTTTCAGAAAGAGGTAAGAATGTGGGGTAAGAGAGGCTGAAAGGAGGGGACTATGATGAGGGGAATTCATGCAAGTGCATCTGAGACTGTAAACCGTTTTTAAAGGTTAACAGTCATTCTCTTTTTCAGTCACACATCATGATTGTGTTACTTTGATTTGAACCTTAACTCGAAGGCATAGCTTTCTTATATTTGTAGTTAATCTTAAAATCGAGATGTAATGTTGATGACCCTTGCTTTATTATAGCTTGCCTAGTGACTGGGCTGTGTGTGTCCTCTTTCCACTTGAGGATCTTGGTGGAGCGCATCTACTCTACATCTTTGATTCCTGCAGTAGGAGGGGACTGATTTCACTCTGACATCTCAATAGCAGTTTTAAAAGTTTCCATTTGAGCTGAAAGAATTGACTTTCTCTGTGGGAATCTCAGGCTCTGGAACCATCAGAAGTATACCTAAGTTACTGAACCAGGGCAGGAATCCAGGTGTTCACAAACCATGAGGGTCCCGGCGGGCACACCACTGTCTCCGGCCAGGTGCATACAGGTGGTGATGCAAAAAGGACAAAGGATGGTGGCAAACTGCAGTTCCCAGTCTCCGAGAATCTCAATTTACAAATGAAATTTTCTGATTTTGTAAAGAGATTTCAGACCGAATATAAAGTGCCCAATGTTCCTAAGACTTCCATTTCCTAGATTTAACTCCTTTTTAGGTACTGATGAAGCCAGGAGTAACTGGGACCTGTTGTTTCTGCTGGACAGATTTCTTTGATTTGGAAATGTCTTTCACTTCTCCAGTGGCACTGTCTTTGTGAGGCTTTCAGGAATGATGAAAAAGCAGTGACTCTTGAGCTGCTTTTCTTCACAGATTTCTGCGCGCATCCTAGGTATCAGTGAGGAAGTGTTCCCATACGGAGAGCAGTGGATCGTCACTAGCCTGTGTGGCAGAAAATGTTTATTTTCCTCACATTCAAGATGAAATCTTGGTTCTGAGTTCTGATGGAATGAGGGTCAATTACTTTCTGAACTAACTTTGTGAAAGATCCATCTGGATTTCTAGTTCTCAAATGACCTTAAATGGAGATCTTGTTTCTTTGTGAAATGTGTATTTTCAGTCTCAGTCATTAAAGTCAGGTCTCAGTTGAAAACCTGAGCTCACCTGAGAAATTAGGAAAATTTTCCTGAATTTTTTCTTCAATTTTTATACCACTATTTTTGTTCATTCATTTATAGAATTACTCAAATGATTCCATACATTAGCTGTTGGAAATACTGCTGCATAAGTATGGAACATTTTGCTGATTGTTTCTGATCAGTAAGATGATTATCATATCTATTCTGCATGTTTACTGTAATAATTATAACATGCAATGATAATAAAAATTCTGCATAGCACTTGGAATCTAGTGAATAATCACTACAGGTTAGTTTTTATGATAAAAGGAATCACATGAAAACTACCTATTATTATCAACCATCTTGCACTCAACCATGAAATATTTATCTAGTTCAAGAAATTTTGATAAATGTGCAGTTAGGAAATGAGTCGAATGTGAAACAATTGTTTGCATTTATCAATAGTATTTTGGGGCTTGACTTTTCCCCCTGTGGGGCTAGGACTGGATATGAAAGTCTTATTTCTCAAAACACAGCTTCAGTGCCCTGAGAAGGAACACAGTTCAGGTCCTTTAGCCTCTGCAGGGCTGACAAGATCTAACCTACAGGAAATTATCTGATCAACTCAGATACAGTGCCTCTGAGCTCCAATATCAGCATTTAATTAGCATGCTTCTGTTACATGAAAACTGTTTGAAATTTGGACTCCTTTGTCATGAGCACAGACTTTTAATGCACATGTCTATTAAAATATTTATATATTCAAAGGTTATACATTTATGCAGTAATAGATGCTAAGCTAGTAATATAGTATAACATTAGTAATCTAGTATATATGGTAATATACATAGAATATATTCATAGTCACCAGGAAGTGAAAAATAAAGACTTCCTTGGAAAAGCAATCAAGTTGCTTTGGAAATGCAATTGAGTGACAACTCCAGTGTCAATAACCACAGTAACTACTGGTACTTTGGTACTGGTACTGACATTGCTTGAACTTTAGTATTTCACACCATTATGGATGGAAATCATTTGGTCTTCCTTCACACCCTAGATATTTTATACAGAGTAAAGCTATCTAATTTCTAAACTGACAATCTAGCAACTGACAGCATCAGGAGACATGGCTTATTCAGTGACATATAGATAAACAGTCAAAAATGTTTGCAGTTATGTTTAAACAATAAACATTCAAAAATACTCAAGTTCCATCATATGAATTCATATAAATGATAAGAGACCCTGATTAAGCACCCATGAAAGCCCACGGCATTCTTTTAGTAAAAGCAATTCCAATAACACTCCAGTAGGATTCCCCCCTGTTAAATTAACTTTGCAGACTTCTAATGGATTTCTTAATTAGACTTGTTATTAGCAAGAATATTAAATGAACTAAAATCAGCACTGACAGCCGCCTGTAATAAACAAAAAATGAAAAGCAAGTTTTATGTACCTTACTTTCCTCCACCCAAACCAAGCTTTTAATAACCTTACAAATGTACTGCAATTAATTATTCAACTGTCGAAGACAGAAAAGAGCTCACGGCCTGTCTGTGTGAAGAAGGTGTTGGTGTCACTCCGGAGATGAAGCTTGGGGCTAAAGTCTCTGCTCCTGTTCAGCTGCCCAGGAAGCTGCCCTGCTTGCATGGCACATTTTCCCCAAGCAGCTGTGGCTTAGGGGCATTAACTTAGGGGCTTAGGGGCATGTGCATTTGCTCAAGTGAGTTTTTTCCTTTGGGAAGAGAAAGCCATTCAGTCAAAAGGGGAGAAGAGTCGAATTCCAAACCCAAGACTTCTGAGTGAACAATGTCCTTCCTCTGAATCATCACACAGCCTTTAAGCTCGCACACTGACCTCCACTGTGTGCTGCTTTGTGCATAGCACATGCATAGCACATGTATCTCGTTTTTATTTTTGAGGTATTTCTGTGCAATTTGAAGCAGTAAGTAGGAATGGCACAGAGGAAAATATAGGCAGAAGAACAAAAACGACCTTATTAAATAAATCTCCTCACAGGAAGTGTCTCCAATCCCCCCCACCAGCCATTGACAGGGGTTACATGCCTTGATCTGCTGTTCCTTCACAGAACAGCGGATCAAGACAAGAAAACAGTCAGACTTTGCCCAGGAAAAGACAAAACAGCTCTCTCCCAAACTCCAAGAGGGATCGCGATTCCTCACTGATGCCCACTGGTTAGTGAGATGAAGTGTATGTTAAAGCATTCTGGGGCCATCGGCAGAGTTCTTGGAGACATTAGGAAGAAATCTGAAGGTTCTACTGATAGACCTGTGTGAGAACATCCCAGAAAAATGACTACAAATTCTTTTCATAACATTTGTCTCTCTAGGAGAGATCTGTGCATAAAAAGCTAACAAAAACACCAATCACTAATAATAATAATAATAATAATAATGATAAAGCACAGCTTGAAAAATTTTGTGACATGAAGTTTAGATTCTTGGGTATTAGTGGTCAACTTAACACCAGCTGAATTAAATCATCATGGTGCTGAGCTTAGATATCCCACCTGAGGAAGGTTACCAGCATAAGTAGAGACACGGAGAAGGAGAAGGGAGGCATTGAGGCATGGTGACTTCTCCTAAGTGTTGCTGTTTGAGCGGTTGGTTCTCCTGGAGGAGCTCTTCATAACTAGATTTCCCAGTGTGAGTTCAACCACTGTCATCAGAGGTGCTCAGGACCTCGTTGGTAAGAGTGGTTGTGGTTCACTTTGGGGGAGCTCTGGTCCTTACATTGAGTATGGCTTCCTGGCTCCTAGGGGGAAGTTGTGTGCTATTTAATCTCCAGGACAAACTCATCATGCTGACTTCCTGGCATGTACTCCACTGTTCTTACTGTCGGAGGAGCTTGTGGCCTCTGTGTCGCTGAGGATGGCTATGGTGCTTTTCAGGGCAGCCCTGGTCTTGTTTTGAGCATGACTTCTTGGCTCTAGTGTGGAAAACTTGTCCTACCAGCACAGCCCCTTCACCTCGCTGTCATAGACTTTTTAGCTTCCACTGCTGATGTTTGGGCCTTCCCAGTGCAGATCCATAAAACAGACTGGCCTGAGTCCTTCTCGTGGGCTCTAGGTCTCCAGGTGGTCTTGTGGGAGTCATAGGCTCTAGGTCTTCATCTGGATTCATGCAGGACATTGCTGTGGGATCCAGGTCCTTGGCTGAATATTCTGGGTCTTCAGTGTTGTAGACAGATTTCCTGCACTTTCTTGTGTTAACTTTGGATGATCAACAAGAATAATATTATAAATTCTGTGTCCTGATTCTAAGTGTTCTCCTCACAACCCCTGACTACAACTTTGGAGGAACAGGTCATTTAAATCAACAGGAGCTTAGCTTTCCCTCTCAGGAGAATGAAGAAAAACCTTAGCTATCATCTTTTTTATCTTAATATAAGGAATTTTGCTATTATAGAAATGAAGTATGATCCTACTGTAAAAACAACTGGAAACCTCTTTAGGCATACAAAAAATGCCTAAAGATCTCATTTTGTAAAGAAAATATTATGTATTGATTTATTCATTCTATTAAGCAAAACTAGAACATTTACACACATAACTGGGGACATCTGGAGTCCAGGCAGCTTCACTTGTTCATTCAGCCACAGGGACCCTGGCAATGACTCACATGGGGGCTGCTCTGCAGTCCTGCATGGTCAGCTCAGGCAGGGCCCGTTGACCCCGGGAGAAGCACAGGTGCTTCCTACCAGCTCATATGGATAGGCCAGCTGTGCAGGGCCAGCTTCCAGAGGGTGCAAGGGATGTCTGCTTTGAAAGATGACCAAGGGAGAGCTGGGATAAAAAGGAAGGGCACAGGGAACACCTGGAGAGAGAGACCAGGAAGCCAGGACCTGAGGTCTGCCTTGGTGAACCTGTAGTACAGAAGGCATCACACCAAGTTGATAATGAACCATAAGCAAAATGGAGTAGTAAGAGCGAGAGGATCTAGAGATTAACACTTGTGCTCTGGAGTCAGGTGTGAGGTCTGAGTGCTGGATCATTCAGCCTCTAGCATCTGGGAAGCCTTCAGCACCTGAGAGCACAAAGGCTGAGTAAGAAGCACACTGAGGAGCCGGGGGTTTAGTTCAGCGGCATAAATGCCTGCTTAGCAAATGTGAGGTCGTGAGTTCTATCCCTGATCCCTGGCACCAAAAAAAAAAAAAAAAAAACCAAGGCAGCAGTCTGCACAGAAGTGGTGAGTAACTGGCAGCCCTTCCCAAGCCACAGAGGTCGGAACGTGGTGCCAACAGCCCAGCTTGGAGGGGAAGGGGAGTGTTTCTCAGTTGAAGTCACAGAAGAGAGAAGGAGAGAGAGCAGAGAAATGGGCAAAGATTCCTGCAGAGAATGCAGTGAAAGGAAAGAGGATGAGGAGGGGTTGCCTGAGGAAGGAAGGGCAGCTTCCTCTTGGACAGAAAAGCCTGCTGTTGAGATCCCAGGTGACAGGCAAGACTTTAAGTGCTGAGGTTAACACCAGGTTGAACCAACCCAATAAATAATTGTGTAAAGGATCTGATTAACCTTTCTCTGAGGAACCGATGCAAATGTCTAATACATTCAGGCAAATATTCGCAACAGCATAGTCATCCAAGCATGTAAATGAAAACCACCCTCAGACACCACACTCATTCGGATGGCTCAGACAGAGAAGCAGGTAACAGCCTGGGGTGTAGCTTGGTGGTAGAGGGTTTAATATGTGCAAGGCCCTGAGCTCAATCCCAGCATTGGAAAAAAAAGACAAATAATAGGTATAGTTGGCGATGATGGGGAGAAACTGGCACCCTCATACACTGTGGGGGGAAATATAAAACTGCCTAGTGGCTTTAGAAATCACTTCTGTACATCTGAAATGTTTAAGCCCGGAGCTACCATACCATCCAATGACCCTTCTCTATGTATATACCCACTCTAACGAATGTGAAGCAGGTGTGAAAATAAACACTTGTACACGAGTGTTCAGAGTGCCACAATTCATGAAATCCAAAGGTCAGGAGCAACTCAAATGCCTATCAAAGGGTCACTAGCTAGGTCAGCCATACAGTGGCATGTCACCTGGCCACTGTGCAGATGACCTTGGAGATGCCATGCTGAGTGAAAGCCCCCAAGCGAACAGGTTCGTTTCCACGAAATGCATAGAACATGCTCCACAGACACAGAAGCGGATTGAGATTGCACGGAGCTGGTGAGGAAGGGGACCTGAGGCATGGAAAGGTATTAGCTAAGGGAGCAGTGGCTTAGGCCATGGAGAAACCATCCTGGCATTGAGTGTGGCCAGCCTTTCCCATGTCTGTGAATATCCCGAAAGCCACTTATGCTCAGCACAGGAGTAGGTGTGGTACCAGAGGTGTATGTGTGTAGAAGCTGAGTCAGAGCTGGTCCAAGGTGTTCCAGTCACTTAAAACACTCAGGCTTCTCCTCAGTGCTTCCCCAAATGAGACAGATTTCAGTATCACTACTGTCATGTAATAAAAATGATCTAATTTTTAATTTATTTGGTGTGATTTGATCTGAAATCTGAAGGCACACATTTTCATTGACAGGCATATTAACTGGAGCTGTTCTATACTCAGCAGCAGGAATAGATGCAGAGAACTCTTCATGGCTGTTCAAAATGTTAAGAATAAATGGGAAATTTTGAACTTCATACTTAGAAAATCTGCTAGCTAATGTAAGTTTGATCTACTAAGATAGTGCTGCCATGTATGGACGGTGATAACATCTGGGCTGTTCATACTGCATGATGACTTCATAAACCCTCTCTGTCCTTCAGCTTTATAACCTCTTCTTATTCACCGTTCTAGCCATTGCTGTGCTTGCGGTTACCTTGGCAAACAGTATTGTTCAGTTTCTCATACTTCTTCTCTAAAGAGCCACAGTGCACTCACGCACAGACCGTGGCTGAAAACACTATTTCCATTCTGAATGACAATAAAGACTATTTAACAGACACACGGACTATTCACTTCAAACTAAACCACTGTGTTCTGAGCAAATGGATTGCATGTTGGAAACAACTGTGCCTCTCTTGGTAACAGGATCACCATGAGACAGAAGTGACAGAGGGAAATCATTAAACCTGCATCCTCTGACATACTCAGCACACTTGCCTTTCTTCAGAGGAAATGTTTTACATTTCTTAAACTCAGAATGCATGTGTATATATATATATATATATATATATATATATATATGAATATGATGAGGCATTAAATTTTTCTGCCTAAATAGTTATTCAGAGGTGGACAAAAATCTAGAAATAATATACTGTCAATTTAATGTCAGAATGTCTATGTAGATAAATATTTGTATTATTATTGTGTACATTTGTGAGTTTTTTCCCCAAAATCTAAAGATGGAGTGAGATGGCACTGCTGATCAGCGAAAAACAACCTAAAAGTTGGGATATAAAAAATATATTTTGATTCTCAATATATTAGAGTGCTGCCTCAGAAGACAGAAATGTACAAACAAGATAATAGCATGCTATATGCAGGGCAGTTAAAAGGCTGAAGAATTATTCCAAATAAACAATCTCATTCCCCAGCGTCAAAGAGGTAGGCTAACACATGTTTTTATCTAAGTGGCTTCAAAATTTCCAAGTACACCCTCTAGGACACCCAAAGAGAACACAGCATTTCAGCTTCTCATAATCAATTAGGGAAGACTGGTATCTGGAATATTTTAATATGCTCTCTATTCCCAGTTCAGAGACTACTGTCTTTCAAATGGGTCCAATCATAAATGAGGAATAGATGTGGTAACTATATGAAATGAAGAAAAACAGCAATTTTGCTTAAAGTTTTCCAGTAGAATAAACAAAATTATATCTCTGAGGCAAAATAGAAGCATGAGCAATTTGCAGTGTCAGAATTCCAGCTTCTCCACAGTCATTTTTGCTTCTAAACTTAGACCACTCCAGAATCCAGCAGGGTGCACTTTGGGCTAAGTGGCCAGAATACCAACGTGGGTGCTGCATGGCAGTGTCCCCTGACATGACCATTGGTTCCTTGACGGCCTCTCTAAGGCAGCTTTTTACTTGTGCCTCAGATCCCAGGGGGAAACCATGACTGATGTCAGCCACTTCTGCGAGGCAGGAGTTTGTCACCTGCCTGGAAGGAGAAAAGGTTGTGGAACATTCTGCACCAGAGTTTAGAAGCAGAAATGAGATTTAGTCATGAAAGGCCATAGGCATCAATCCCGCACTGAACACTCTCGAGGCCAGGCAGTGGGGTGCTAATCAACCATGGAAAGCTGCCTGGAGCAGCAAAGGGTCCCACAAATCACATAGCAGGACAAACTGTGTCCATCTCCCTGAAGGAAAAGACAGGCTGCTTGCTGCCTTTGGGGTTGGGCAACATCCTCTCTAAAGAGCACGTCCAATCCTGGGCCCAGGCCTGTGCAAGGGACCCAGCTGGAAGAGGACTTTGCAGATGTAATCCAGGTAAGAGGCAGTCCTGGGTGGGGGATCCTCTAATATAATGGGGATCCTTCCAGCAGGAGGAGGAGAGGCACAGGGGATCACAGAGGAAGCTGAAGGGACACCAGGGAAAAAAGGAAGATGTTTTTTCATGAACCATTTGAGAACAGCACAGCTCTAGTGACACTGAGAGCCTGGATTTCCAGCCTTCAAAAGTAGGAATCAATTACTAACTGTTTTATGTTTGTTTGTGCAGTGTACTAGTTATTGAGACCAGTGCCTTCACAATGAGCTAGCTCCCTAACCCTTTTCTTTTATTTTGCTTTGAGACAGGGTCTCAGAACAAGTCACTAAGTTATCCAGGCTGGGCTAGAACTTGCCACACCACTGCCTCACAGTCCAGGAATGCGGGAGTTACAGTGTGCACCACCAGTCTGGCTGCCTTGTTTATTAGCGTAGCCTCAGGGAGCCCTAAACAGGCAAAAACACCAAAGCTCAGTCTGCAGGGCCTCAGGAAAATCTTCAAGCTGGGAACTGAAGGCTGAGGAACCCAGGGTCCTCACCAGCCACAGTGGAGGCCTTCTCAGTCAGGGAGCAGCATCCTTGAAAGGGATGTCCCATCCTGAGAGAGGAGGTGGGTGTGAAGGTTGCTAAGAGACATGGGCCATGTGGGATTCTGCCGGTACCATAGGAGGCCGGGGGCTGCCACAGAGGGCTCACGCGGGTCTGGGCTCTACAGAGGACTCTCCATAGCAGTCTCCCCTTCATGGCTGGCTTTAGCAAATGGAACTGTCCCTAGCAAATCCACACTGCAGGTGAAGCATCCCACAGCATTTTCCCTTGCCCCGGAACTCTGCACACAGACAGCGGCCCTGGGCCCTGCCTTCCCTCAGGAACTCTGGCCAAGGACCCAGCCTTGGTTCTTGGCTGGCGTGTGGCCTCCAGGGTCACTATGCCCAAGACCACATTGCAGCCTTTGCTGTCCTGCTGCTCTATAGCATGCATTTGTGCAGAAAGGTACAGCTGCCATTTGAGCTTGTGCTCTGTTCCAATTCCCACTGTGTTTTTCCTCTGGCAAGAGAACTAGGGTGAGCACAAAGTGCTGGGAGAATGCCCTGCATGCTCTGCCCAGGAAATTGCCCGTGCTTTCCTTCTGAACTGACCTCACAGGTCCGAAATGTCCACAGATATCATGGCCCGGATTATAGTATTTTTAAACCAGGCTCACTCCCCAGCACTGTGTTCATGTTCTTCACTGACTTTTCTAGTTGCCTTTTCAGGGGACAAAAGATGCTACCCATAACCTCAAGCGCTGCTCAGATGAATCAAGCACACTTCACTATGAGGCCAGTTTCATTGTTTTTACAGTAATACTTTGGATCAAGAACAAACAATTTTGCACTGGGCAAAATTTTGCTTCTGTTTGTGAACTCAGCATTAGATGTTGGACGTGACTACGGACATCTTCCATGGAACAATTTACGTTCACAAACTAAAACAACACTTCCTCTCTCTCTCTCTCTGTATCTCTCTGTCTCTCTCTTTCTCTGTCTCACTTGCCTTTCCTTCAAAATATAAATACACTTCCAAAGACCAGTATTGAATTTGAAAAATAAGTACAGTCCCACAGATGTGGCATACAAATAAAATTACCTTTTAGTAAAACGTGAATATGCTGGAATAGATGCCCTCCAAATGTGTGTGTGTGTGTGTGCGTGCGCACTACTCTCCATGTCCTTGCAGTATTTCCTGAAGCACTCAGCATAAGTGCCTGCTAATATAATAAACAACACTTTATTGTATAAGGAGGAAATGTGGTGCAGCAATTTGACTAGAAACACAGCGACCCTGGTTTGCTAAACTCAATGCAAACATTAGCTGTGGAACAGACACTAAGTCTCTGGGTCTCTCTGACCATCTAGGGGTTCTTGTCTGAACATTTAGGGAGTCTTGCTTGGTTTGCTTTTTGTGACCTTGACATTTCAGAAGAAGACATACCATTTAATGTTTAGAGACTCACCCTCCAGGTTGGTCTGATAATTCCTCACGCTGACACTCTGTCATTTCAACAAACTGTCAGTTTTAAAGGCACTGGAAACACTCCAGCATCCCAATCCAGAACCAGCTTCCTGTAAGGGTATTCACCACCCAGAGAATTCTATGGCTTCCTGCTTTCGCTGATATGTTCCTGCCTCTGGGTCTCTCTGGTTACTGGCTAGTTTTTCATTTAAATTCAGCTCCAGTGCCTGAATTTCAACTTAAATTCAGGTTTTCTCTGAGCTACCAGACCTCTGACTGATGGATTCATCAGGAAGCCATTCAGCCTTCTGGTTAGAATAAATCTACGTCAACCACTCAGCATAGCCTTGGGAATTCTAACCACTCTAAACCCCTGGAAAATTAAATTCCTGGTAACACTAACACACTGAGATGACCCCTAGTGCTCTACTCTGAAAGGGTTTTGGCCCAGACAGGATTCTGTAGCCAGGAAAGCCTCAACCGGAACCAGGAAGCTCCTATCTCCCTCGCCCCTAGAAATTTACCTGTGATGCCATCTTCCTGCCCCTGGGAATTTATCTATGGTGCTAAACCTAGGGCCAATGGGCTACCTGTGCATCCCTAATCCCCCCCCCCCCCCGCCTTAGGTTCCACCCCACACTGAAGCTACCTATGTGCCTCACTCCATGTATTCCATGGAGAGATCGGGACCCCAGGGTGGAGATGCCGTGCTCTGGGGGGTCAGGGGTGTCTCTATCCACATTCCCAAAATAAAGGTCATTTATATTTCATATTTCTTATCTTTTCAGCTGCCGCCGGTCCTCCCCCACAGTTCTATCATACTCTCCTCTTATCATCACAATCTGGGCTGCTATAACAATGCGTTTTGGCTCTTTATTGACCTAGTTATTAAAAAATCAGTACCTCGATTCAAGGTCTTTATCAAATCACTTCTTGAGGTTTCTTGGTTTTCAGTTATTCATGTTTCTCCTCAATTTATAAATAAGTGACCTGACCGGTCTTCCTTGGACATTTTTTGATTAAGACTATGACAAGCTAAGAATAGACAAGAGTGGATTTTCTCACCCAGAATGGACAGCTGAAAGGAGCCTCTGCAGTCTTACTCCAGGGTCTGACTCAAAGGTCTGGAGTAAAATTCAGGTCTCCTGGTCTGGAACTGAAGGCTTTCTGTGACTGGAGACTGTCTAAGTATCTACTGACTGATTAAAAATGTTATTCTTTCTGCTTTCTCCTCTCACCCTTTCTTACACTTCCTGTATACAGCACACATGCCTGTGCGTACATGTACCCCACATCATGGGTCCTAAATGTTTTACACATCACTTTGTTTCCCAGCACAGACTGTAGCTTGTGTCATCCCTGCCTTTCTGCCTTCGTGTTACCTTGGCACCACTTCACTGCTTTCCTGACTCTGAAAGTGTTGTATCTGAAGTGTTTGTTCAGCCTCAGGTTTGAGGACTGAGGAGGAAGTCTCCTCCTCGAGTACTTTACGAGCTCCCAAGCACTTGTAACCTGTGTTTAGATAACACTTCATTTCCTCCAGATTTTTGTACAATTCCATTTATTTGTGTCAAATTTCAGGAAGATTACATTTATGCACGTTTTGTGATTTCAGTTTTGGGAGCTCCTTGAGGACAATGCCCATCAGTTATCATCCTGGACAAGACAGCCTGGTACTTTAAAAAACGAAACAAACAAGCCCATCCCTG